CCCAGTAGTTGAGGCTGTGCTAAGACCCATCAGTTTTCCAAAGGGGAGAACAGCAGTCAGCATCCAGATGCAGGCTGCTGAGAACCTGGACCCTCAGGCAGAGCTGGGCAAGTGTGCACTTCGACTCCTTCCAGGGAGAAACAGAGATGGGCATTTCTGCCTGTTCCATTGGGCTGGGCCTGGGTGTGTAGCCAAGGCAGGCAGGGGGAGGGAGGGTGCCCCTGCACCCATTAAGAAATTCTTGTTGGCTACAGTCCTGTGGGACTCATGAATGCAAGCCCCATTGTATCAGAATCAAGCAAGCAGGTGGCCATCTCTTGAGTGGCAGCCACAGAAGCTGGGGCACAAGCGTGTGTACAAGCTTCTTCTAGGGAGATACTAGTGACTTGGAGTGGGTTGGAAGAAGGTGGGAGGTCCTCCAGCTTCCCAGGTTTCTGGGGGAGATCACAGCCAGCCCCTGGGGCCCGCTAGATTAGAAGCCTGGCCCTCAGGCAGCAGCTTTTAAAGCATGCAGACAACCTCTTTCAGAGAAGGACTGAGGGTGAGGGAACTTGCCTGTTCCCGAGAAGATAGCTGCAGTGAGCGCTCATGCACCCAAAACAATACCTTGTTTGGGGGCTGGCCCAGTGGTGTAGTGGTTAAGTTCATGCGCTCCGCTTTGGTGGCCCGGGGGTCTGTGCGTTCAGATCCCGGTCATGGACCTACATGGTGACTCATCAAGCCATGCTGTGGCGGTGTCCCACAAACAAAATAGAGGGCGATTGGCACAGATGTTAGCTCAGTCTTCCTCAAGCAAAAAGAGGAAGAGTGGCAACAGATGTTTGCTCAGGGCCAATCTTGCTCACTGGAAAAAAATTAAAAAAGAATAGCTTGTTTGGAGCAGCCCTGATGGTCTAGTGGTTAAAGTTCAGTGCTCACCACTTCAGCTGCCTGGGTTTTCTTCTCAGTCGTGGAACTACACCACTGGTCTGTCAGCTGTTATGCTGTGGTAATGGCTCACACTGAAGAACTTGAATGACTTACAGCCAGGATATACAACCACACACAGGGGCTTTGGGGAGGACGAAAAACAAAAAAAAGAGGAAGATTGGCAACAGATGTTAGGTCAGGGTGAATCTTTCCCTGCAAAAAAAAAAGGGGGGCTTGTTTGCGTGCTAGTCTTGTGGGCTTCATGGATGCAAGCCACACTGGCTTTCAGAGCTAGGTGTTGGGGGAGCCTGTCCCTCCAGTGGGAGTCCTAGAAGTTGGGGTACTAGATGTGGAGTCTACACCCTTCACTCTTCAGGGAGAAGCTAGAAGTTGGCCATTCCATCACGATTTAATGGTGCTGTGCCAGGGGTTGAGTTTATGGCAAGCGTGTCTCAGCCTTTCCTATCTGTCTTGACGTGGGTATTTTCTCATTTGTCCAATGTGTTGGAGTCACTCAGCTAGTTTCCAGATCTCTTCCAGTGGGAATTGCTCCATATGTAGCTGTACATTTGGTGCGCTCATGGGAGGAGGGGAGCTCAGGAGCCTCCCAGGTCGCCATCTTGGTTGACTCCTCCTTAATCCCTCTTAACATGGATGATTGAGAGCTACTTTATCCACCAGGAGTTGTGACAGACTCATCTTTCCCTCTGAAGTTGATCAGTATTTTTATTTATTTTTTGCTGAGGAAGATTCACCCTCAGCTAGCATCTGTTGCCAATCTTCCTCTTTACTTGCTTGAGAAAGATGCACCCTGAGCTAACGTCTGTGCCAGTCTTCCTCTACTTTGTATGTGGGTCACCACCACAGCATGGCTGATGAGTGGTGTAGGTCTACACCCAGGGACCGAACCCACAAACCCAGGCTGCCAAAGCAAAGTATGCTAAACTTATCCACTAAGCCACAGGCCTGGCCCTGACCCCCATTTTTAAAACTGTGACCACTGTTGGTTCAAAATCAATTGTAATTTTAATTGTAATGTGAGAAGGCTCTTCTGCATTGCTGGAAGCTTTCCTTATGAGTCATTTCTACAGTCTTGTATATTAAGTTATATAATTTTGCTTCAGCAAGCTTGGCACATATCATATTTGTAAAAGCTAAAACTAAGGGATTAGGAAATCATGGGGTTGTGCTACACATTCTGATTCACTATATTGATTACTGTGACTACTTATGAGGACCATTTTGGCCATTCTAATAAATACTTCCAGATCAGAATCTCTGGAAAAGTACCTGAAAATCTGTATTTTAACATGGTTTCCAGGTGCTTATCCTGTAGATTAAAGTTTGAGTTCACATTAGTCTCTAGAATGTATTATTATTTTCAGTGACATCATTTGTCAATTTTTATACCTATTACTTTCTTGCTACTTTTACTAGACAGATCTGACATCTCATTTGATACGCAGCTCAGTTTCTTTGTCACTCTCCTCCCTCAGAGGAACACTGACATCCGGTACTGATATTCTGATTCAGTGGGGGTTAACTATTTGCAAACAGCAGAAGCAACTAGAATCTTTTTTTTTTTTTTTTTACTTTCCCCAACACATCGGGGGAGAGAGAATACTCGAAGCTGGTTTGTATTTTGTAAAAGTTCCACAAGTGATTCTGATATAGAAATTTTAAAAAAAATCTAATTTGTTTTAACAAAGGAATTTGTGTAATTTTTGGATGACTTGGTTATTTATCTTGCTGTTCTGTTTTTACAGAACACCTTTTCTTGTAAACATGTTTAATGAATAAACCAGTTTTAATTTCGATTGTAGTATTAGTTGTGATTTCTTTTTCTCACAGGTGTCATCTTTGAGAAATGAAAAGCGAGGCTCATCGTATCTCATCTCTTCCCCAGAAGGTGGCTCAGTGGAGCTTGTCGACCAGCATTCTCAGGGCACAGGAGTGTATTACATGGAAACCTACTTAAAAAAGAAGCGAGTGTACTGAGTTACGTTCTCTCCTTACAACCTCAGAAGGTTCTCTGCAGAATCTCTGCTGGTCTTCGCTGCCTTAACGACATTCAGACTAGCCATATCCTTTAAATACGGGTTTCTAATTTCCCAGAAGGAACTGTTGTGCAGCAGGCAGAATTGCCAAATAAGAAATGAGTAGCAATAAGAAGAAATATCAAGTGAGGACGTTTTCCACTAGAATTAGATGCATCTTAATCAATGTGATATTAACCTACGGTCCATTGGAGAAATTAATAATATTTCTTGTTTTAGGACTGGGAATAATTTTGACACCATATATAAAAGTTTGAAGCAATAAACGGGAAACAGTCTTGTTTCCTGAGCCTTAGTAGAATGAGTTTCTTAAAAGCCAACGTGCATTTCGACTTACTTTCCCTAGAAGTAATCTCATTTACAGATTTTCAGACCTTTTCCTAGAACTGCGAGAGTGCTGGATGTCCTACATGCAGACTGCATTGTGACCGCCACCCCAGCCACGCAACATAAAACTCAAACACGGAGTGATCGCGAGGGCCCAGGCAGACGCCACGACAGACGCTTTACTTTTAATACATTTACCATTTATACCTTTTGTGAAAAACACAAGGTATTTTAAGAAAAGCAGCTTTGGTGATCTAATTAAGGGATTGGCAAACTACACCCTGGGGTCAAATTCAATCCTCCACCTGTTTCTGTACTGTCTGCAAGCTAAGAGTGATGTTTACATTTTTAAATGGTTGGAGGAAAAAAGAAAATTTATGATTTAAAAATTATATGAAATTCAGATTTCAGTGTCCGTACATAAAGTTTTATTGGAACACCACCATGCTCGTTCATTTACATACCGTCTAGGGCTATTTCGTGCTACGATGGCAGAGATGAGTAGCTGTGACAGATGGCAAAGCCTGAAATATTTACCATCTAGCCTTTTATAGAGAAAGTTTGCCAACGCTCATCTAATAGCACTAATTCCCTAATCGTTTTACTTCACCTAAAGAAGGACCTTTAACTTTTGCAGCAGACTTCTGAGGCAAGGAACATGGGCTTGCGTGTCTCCTCCCCTAGTGCACCCTAAGGACTGGAAGCGGGCCCGCGGTGAGCACCCAGCCCCACTGCACAGTGCAGGGACGCGGTCAGCACCAGCCTGCTGAGCGTGTCTTCTGGAGGAACGGTATTTCTAAGTGTTTTGCGCTAATAAGCGATACCTCACTCTCTGCTTTGTCTCTTATCCTTTTGTAGTGAGTTCGGCTGAAAAACGAGCAGCCGTTTAACCCAACTTACTTCTGAAAGAATTGTGTTTATTGCAGATAACTTCTGAGATCACCGTCTCCTCAAGACCTTGGTATTAAATGCATGAGACACCCTGTGCCACCTAGAAATTTCTAAGCTTGTTCCTTGTTATGAGACTGTAATTGATGATGTGGAATTTAGGGGTCCCGATGATCCTAGTCTTTTTGAAATCAGATCATTAAATAACTTGTAACTTAGGGACTTATTATTTTTGCCTATGACATAGGGTATCTATCTATCCTGTTTTAATTAGGAAGTTTAAAATTGGTACTCATATGATTTGTAAAGAAAGAATTTTACTTGGTCTAATTTATTGCATATGTTAACTTCTGTTGGAAGATGACAGCTAGGCAGTTGAACTAAGATAATTTCTAAGGAGTGTACTACCTATAAGTTAACTGACCGGGATCGGCTATGACCCAGCAGATGCATAATGGATCCGCCCTGCTCTCTACTTCCCCTTCCCACTCTCCTGTTGCATTGAGCCTCTTCAGTGCTTAGTCACACCTCCGTGACAGTACAAACAGAAGAAAGGGAAGCTGGTGACTTTTAAATCAGAGCTGCCACATGAAAGCAGGAAGAGGCTGAAAGAACGAAAAGGTACTTTGGACCACAGTACACGTGGCTCTGCCGTCCATACTGCCCTGTGCCCCTTACCACTGGACGCAACAGATACATCCAAATCAAACAGGACCACTACCGACACCCCCCAAAAGTCCATACTGTTATTTTTCTATGTAAATGAATTGTTTGAAATGCTTTGAAAATGAAATCTTAATATTAAAAGGCATATGCATGTGAAGTCTCTAGCATATTTATTTGTATAAAGAGTAAACAAAGTGCATATAGAGTGGCCACAGGTTCGACACAGACAGATACCTTGGTGATGGAGGGTTATTGAACAAATTTAAATGGCGAGTTTATTGTTGCCACTGAATCAATCCAGAACTTTTTCAGGCTCAAAGTAATGACATCAACAAACAAATGCTAGACAGCATTAACAAAGTTTTTCAGACTCTTGGGCTTAAAGATCTTATGGTTCACATTGAATCAGAGATTAGCTATTTTTGATTACCCAGCTACCTCCAAGCAGAGTGAAAACTGTCTAGTGGATCCTGAACTCCATGTTGCCTCTAAGCTGGGTCTTTTTCAAGTTTTGTGCGATCGGGTGATGGTCAAAATCTTGTAGATGGATGGTAAGTACTGAAACTAAGAAAGAACAGTGCAATGGATGTGGTATGTATTCTGATTTGGTTGCATACAGCATCCAAAACCAATGCTGGAACAGCTTGCCCCAAGTGGTATAGAGTTATCAAAGGCTATACACTGACAGTTCTTAAAAGCATGTATGATAGCATCCAGGTTCTAGGAATCACTTCTGATTCAAGGTATACTGTTTAGGAAAGCAAGGGCATAGGCTGAGTTCTCAAGAATTAACATCATGCAGCAAAGTATCTGCTCCACAGCTGTCACCCTGGGTATGACCAATTTTCTCAAAAATGGGTACCACTGGTCACCCAAGGGGGCAGGAGCTAAGCCACTGGAGAAACAACTCAAAGTTTAAGTCCTACTGGTGACAGGAACACACTCATCTTTGTAGAGAAACACTACCACACTAACTGGTATCTAATATTTCAAGAATGCTGGGTCTGTCGCTGTATAGATATTGAAATTTGAGGGCCTGTTAGAGTACTGGCTAAGTCCGTCAATCCTTATGTGCCAGAAAAATGTTTCAGCTCAACTAGCAGCGGAGAGACAGCAATCACCTTGGGACCATACTTGGGTCAGCTCCTCATTTTGAAATGCTGATACACAGCTGTGATGGTCAACCAGCCAAATGAAATGGAGAGAGATTCTTTCCCAAAGGAGGAGTGCTTGCTATACTGGGTTGTCATTATTTGTCACTGTTACTGGTGCCAAATTTAAAGAGGAAGTACTTACACATATTGAGCACCACAGTGTGCCTGTACATGGATACGTACCCGAGTATCTTTTAGACAGAATACAAACGTTCCCATTAAAGAAAAAATGTTTTAAACGGTTTGGGTATTTGTCGGGGGAGGAGGACTTGACACGCGGTGGGATTCAGACGTTACTCGTGCTTATTTTAAAAGCGCTTCAAAGCCCTCAATAAGGTTCTGAAAGGTGGTGCGACTAGATGGCTGGAACTCCCAGCATTTTCTCATAAGCTGATAAACCTGGAAAAAGAAGGAAGAACCAACAATAGTAAAAATGTTGTCAGATTTGGGAGCTTTTAAATTACAGAAACATCAAGAGTCAGAAAATGATTTTGGAATGTAAATGACCTTCCTTAATAAGTAAGACTGGGAAATAAGAGTATTTGAGTAATTTAAAATACAGAAAGTGTGACACAACTATAGTTCCTAAATAATATTTTAACACTTGAGAAACTCATGGGTTAACTGATCTTCCCCAAAATCCAGGTCATTAATTGCCATGAGCCAGCCAGTTCAGGGGTAAAGTTTCAGCTCGGTTTAGACTCAGTTTCCCCGCTGGATGCTTCGCTCTCTGACGCGTGCTCTTCAGTAAGTCTTAAATAGTCTCAACACTTAAAGGCTCCATTCTCTTTAGATACAGAAAGCTGAACAGATGTCACAAATGCTGTTGACGAGTGTGATAAACTTACACACAGAAATACAATTATACGTGTCTGTCACAATGAGGTGGCACCAGACGTGTCCTTTGGGTGCTCACTGTGGTGAGCCTGCTTTCGAAGGAATCCTTGCTTTGACCATCACCTACGGCCATCAACTGCCCTGAGGTGAGTTCTCAGACATCTTATCTCAAATACAGCTTCAGCAAACTGTTTTAAAAAGGAGTTTTCTCCTCTTCCTCCCACCCCTAGTGTCTGGCCGGATAACCCAAGCCATGAAAACATAATAAAAAGTGTTATTCTGTTACTGTGAAGTGGCCTGTAAATACCTCATCTGGACAGTGGGGTGGACAAGGCAGGCGCTTCCCCTCTTTCAGTGTGTTCACAAGCCTCGTCACTGTCATCTGGCCATGAGTGGGGCCTATCATTTTCAGGAACAACTACGTAAAACAAAACCAAACAAAATGTTTTACTTTGCACATATTTATAAACACCAGATAGATTAAGGTGAAATTTCTAGAATTAACTAGAAATTAAAATAGCAATAAAAAGGCTTTTCTCCTTAGTAACTTTAAATGAAAGTCCAAAATCCTTATTTGCTCTCAATGATCAGACTACTCAATGTCTCAGACTCTACCAGCCACTCCCTCCCCTGGTCACGGAGCGTGTCGCAGTGAAACGATCCCATTTAGGAGTGCACGAGGCTCAGACCAGCCCCTACCCAAAGATGCCTCACTGAACTCGCACATCCTCTCAGGAAACTGTCCCTGGGCTCCTCACATAGACAAGATCCTTGACAGTCAGGGTCACCTTATAGAACTTCGGACTCTTTGTGAAACCACGACTTGAGAGAGCCACAAATAACTGTCAGGTGATAAGCCAAGTTAAATGGAAAAGTAACATCTTTGCTTTGCATGATAAGACTGATTGGGTTCTATTTAAGAACTAAACAGAAGGAAACCTACAAAGCAGGGGGACCGACACATTTTAACTGGGTGATGGGTTCAAATGAAGACAAGTGAGACACACCGCCATGGGACTGGAGTCCGAGTCGCAGTAGGTGAGCAGCTCGTGCAGAGTCACTCCAAAAGACCAGACGTCAGAGGCAATGTAAAATTTACACTGAATCAAACATTCTGGAGCATACCTGAAAGAAAGAGGAGCGTGAAATTTCATTTCCTGGGAAGGATAGTCCAACAAACACTACAGAGCAGCTCAGAAAAATGTAATGTTCTATGACGTGTGTGTATTCTCTACAGATCACATACGCTGCTGCGGTGCACATGTGACATACAGAACACCATCCTTTACAGGCTCTCAGTAGCACGTATTTGCTCCAAAATGACAGTGAGACAAGTTGGCACTCTTCGTTTCACAGGGCGAGTGTTCCCCACGGGGAGGAGGAGGCGTATGACAACAGACGCAGCTTTAATCGCCTGCGAGCTCAGCGCGAGTCAGCAGTGACCTCACTGCCCAGTCCTCTTCCAATGTCAGCTGTGTGGGTGAATGATCCCCAACTGCCCAAGCCAGAAACTGGGGCGTCCTTGTATCCAGTTTCCTAAATACTTTTCAAGCCTGCTCACTTCTCTCAAACGCCACTGTCACTATCCTGCCCACTGTCCTAGCGCACATCATCACCGGCTCTGGCTGAATCAGACGCCCTTGCTCCAATCTTGCTTCTCACCATTCCACAGTGACCTTGCTAAAGCAACAGGCCCCATCCTCACACCCCACAAAGGCCTCCGGGCTTGGGATGGAGTCTCACGTCCATAACTCAGCTCCCATTGCTCTGCCTTGGCAGCCCCCAGACCGCGTGCTCCGTGATCCAGCCACACCGAGCTGCCTTCAGGGCCTCGAAATCCACTGCTCTCGTCTCACTCGTGTTAGGCACACATGCCTTCTACTAACCATCTTTCCAGCCCCCATGAATCTTTGAAGGTTTTATCTTAACAGTCAGGACTTCCAGAAAACCAACCTGAACCTTTCTACACTTATGTTACCACGAAATTGGCTGCCACACCCATTAAACTCTAAACTCAGTCTGTTTGTTCGCCATCACGTGTCTAGAACCTGGCACAAAGGAGGGCCTGATACATACTTGGTTAACGAGTAAATGAGGGCTCAGGCTCCACGGGTGGGAGAGACCTATGTCGCATCTAGGGAGGGTGCAGCTCAGAGGTGCTGACAGTTTTAGGGGGGTGGAGCAGAGACTTACGCAGCTTCTCCCCTGGACAGTGCTCCAGGCTGAGAGGGGTCAAAGGAGGGTACGGACTTCTAACCAGATGCTCTGCTGACTCAGGAGAAGATGGCCAAGTCTCCCAGGGATCTTGCTCTGCTCTGTCCAGCATCTCCCTGCATCTGTTCAGTGTCTACTTCCTGCCTGCCCCTCCTCCCACGCGCCCTCCAGGCTTCCTCTGCCTGGGTGTGACTGCTCCCGCTGCTGACAGTTTTAAGGGCCGTGCCAGATGAATGCCCTCTCCCGGGAAGCTGGAGATGCTGCGCTGGTTGCATCTCTCCATTCCTTGGAAGATGGTGTCACAAGAAGCTCAGGCATTTCCATGCGGGTTGCTTTCAGTGAAACAGCCTAAAATGTGTTTCTTGAAGGCAAAAATCAATCAATTCCAAATGTTCTAAGTGCTTTCTAATCTTGACTCATGCAGGAGGAATGAGAGATGTTAACATAGCTGGAAAAGGCTCTCAAAACAGTATGAACGCTGGGAAGCACTGAGGCCGTCTACCTCTGATTCACTTACCAGAACACAGGGCTGTCCCGATCATCCTTGACCGTGTAGTACTCTTTATCCCTCTCGATGGCTTTGGTTAAACCGAAGTCTCCGATTTTCACTTGGTGCTCACTCTCAACGAGGACATTTCTTGCTGCTAAGTCGCGGTGAACGTACTGCTGAGAACCCAGATAGTCCATGCCCTGCGGGAGAGAAGCAGACGCCGAGCACACGGCGAAGGTGAGCGCGGACCACGTCTCGTGTCACTTCCTGACAAAACGTACAAATGGCACCTCATTCGCATATCACTGGCTTTTTTCCTTGGTCTTTACTTTTATGTAAGAATAGTAAGACCAAACTGATTCAAAGGAATACACATTAAATCAGCCATATTAACAAATCAGTTCACTTTCCTGGTGAAGGCTGACTTTTCATCCAGATCGTGCAGAGCAAAACCAACTCAGCACAATCACTGGCAGCCTTCCCGCGTGCAGCCTGTACGCACCAGTCACCTAGACAGAGTGCCTGCTTTTTAATCTTTAACGTCCTTTTTTTTTTTTACCTTACAAATCTGAACGGCGTATTTTAACTGCTGTTTGAGGTTAATTTTGTTTTTATTCTTTGGAAGATATTCCTTAAGGCTTCCGGAAGGCAGAAATTCCATGATGAGCTTAATACCATTTCCTCCTGTTTAGAGAAAAAAGCACCCATCAGTAAGAGGCTGCCCGGAAGGGCGTGTGGGAGTCAAGGGCACAGGACCCGGAGAGGGGACCAGACCTGACCACAGGACCACCGCGGCATCCCAGGCAAGTTCCTCACCCTCTGAAGCACCAAAACCTGGGGGTCCTCAGCGGCAAACAGGGATACTAACACACCAGCCAAATGGTGATTTTTAAAAATTAGGAGCCTTAGCATTTCACTACCAATTTTAAAGTACAATATGTGAGTACTGTACTGGCTTGTAAAAATGATACACTTATCAGTGCATATTACTTGCCACCTTGATTTAGACAACTAGATCCGGCTAGTGCTGGGTGAGAACAGGGCCAGGGGAGGAGCGGCCATCACGTTCATCTGACCTGAGTGTCCGAAGTGCACATACTGTGTGGGAGCCGTCCAGTGCCCAGTGCGGGTACGCGGACAGCATGGAGAGGCAATGCTGGAAGCATCCCCGGCTGGGGAGCAGGGCAGGCTGGGCGGCTTCCCTGGGAGCTCCGCAGCCGCTCAGGGATTTGACAGTCCACATGACCATGCAGCCCAGAGCGCGTGGGGGCTGCCGGCCAGCGCATTCAGGTGGCCCAGAAAAGGCGAGGGCACTGCCTGCTCAGCACTGGCCTGATGAGCCCCGACAGTCTTCAAACCAAGCCCACTCTGCACACATACCGTCTTCTGTGCAGATGCCTTTGTACTTCACAATGTTTTCATGGTAGAGGTTCCTTAGGATCTCGATCTCTTTCTTCAGATCAGCTATGTGGTTACCTCCACTCTCAGGCTTCAGGGATTTGACAGCCACCTGCTCCCCAGTATTGTCGCCCTCAGGGTCATACCTGCAGAGCTCGACCTTGCCAAAGTGGCCCTGGAGGGACAGACGCATGTGCTTGATCAGAGAGCCCCAGCCTGGGCCAGCAGGGGCACAGAAGCTGAGGCTTGCTCCTCGTGCTCCTCCCGAGGGCCTGACGCTGCAGGCAGCAGGCGCCTCCCTGGCCTCTCTGTCCTCAGCACAGCCCCCTCCTCTCGGCTCACACAGCCGCTGTACGCTCTGATACTGAGCCACGAGAAGGAAAGTTTCAGGAGACTGCTGAACCGACTCATCAATCCCAGTCTCTACGAAAATGTAACCCAAAAGGAAGGAAGGCTTTCTGATCATGGAGGGCACCTGCAGTGCTCTCTGACAGCCCTGGGCCCACAGGGCAGGTACCATGATGTGGCTTCAAAGAGCACTGTGTGAGGAGTCTTTAGAAGACGTGGGATTCGATCCCCGCTAGGCCGTTTGATGGTGAGGTTGGCCCACCACATCTTCCGAGCTGGCTGTGCAGGTGCTCAGTGCCCTCGCTAGTCGTACGCTCGGGATGTGGTGGGGAACCAAGGATGCCGGGCCTGTAAAACGCCTCACACGCAGCCTGGTGCATGGCTGATGCTCAAGCCAGACACCATCGGTGTTCACGTAGCAGAACTACAGAAAATCTGCATAAGGACACAAATCCCAGTAGCTTTTCTAGTCACATTACCTGTTAGGAAACTCATTTGAAGGCCAAAGGAAAAGCTGACGTTTTATTTTGGCCTTCTGTCTAGGACATCCATTCCTCATTTGAGCAGCCTCACAGGAACACACGCCCAGGCAAGTCAGAGGCGGGGTCCTTTTACTCCCACCAAATCTATACCGATCCCCCTAGATCTCTGCCTTACATTCTCTCCTGCCCCTTAGAGAGAAACTGAGCTTCTGGAGGGAGCTAACCGGCGTCCTGCATGCACACAGCCACATGTGCAGGCAGGTGTATGCACGCTGCTCCTGTGCGAGGGTCAGATGCAGAAAGACACACTCTCCCGCAGTACAAATGGCCCGAAGAGAACACAGTAAGATCCTTTCTCTTATGAGCCAGGACCCGGAACAAGAGAGCAGAGAGCAGCTTTACATGCAGAGGTGCTGGGTCAGCAGGGGACCTGGGGGTAACTTGCCTCTCCCAAGTCACGGATCCTTTTTAAGAACCGCTTTTCAAAATGTGTGGGATCCACTTCAGCTGCTGGCTTTCTTTCTGAAACAATGTCTGGATCTAACAGAAGAAAGAAGGGACGGTTAAGAACAAGTGAGTGCTGCACACGGGCTCCTCGTTATCCCTGGCCCCCCGAGTGGCTCTCCAGGGCGCTGGCTGATCCCGGTTACGCAGCGTCTTACTCTGCTCCTCCAGCTTATTGATGTCTCTCATGATGGCTCGGAAGAAGGGCCTCTGATTAGGGTCATAGTTCATGCAGCGGGTCATCAGGTCAGCCAGCTCCTTACAAGATGGTGTCACTGGCCTGCACCGGCTTTCATAGAACCTCTCTTTCTGTAAAGAAGAGGACCACATGGGAAAAACTGAAGGAACCACCCAGAAGTCTTTTGGCCCCAGGTCAGAGGGAGTACTTCTGACCTGTTAATTCCCAACAGCTCTGCCCAGAGGAAGATTTCATAAACATGTGTGTTACTGTTGCCTTCTTCCAGCCTGGGGAGATGCCAGTGATACTAAAATAATCTGAATTCGAGGAGGGCAGCAGTGCACCCCAGTCCAAACAAGCCATATTCCAGGAAAGCCAGTGCGGCCTTTCTGGAATGCAATTTGGCAATATGTGTAAAAATCTTGAGATTCTCCAAACTCTCTGACTCATTAATTCCAATTATTGACTGACTCAGAAATAAATCAGATATAAACAAAGACTTATGTTTAAAGATACTCCCTGCAGAATCAGAACATTACGGATTTTCAAACAACCTATATGGCAAACATAAAATTAGTTAAATTAGAGTTTAACGAAACAACTCACACTAAATTTCTAAAAATTGTAAGACTTATTTCAATGCATAAGAAAGTACAATATTAAATGAAAAGAACACAGCATATACACTTATATCTAGCATGGTCCCAATTTTGCTTAAAGAAGATACAGACTAGGAAGATGGTATGGAAAGTGTGAAATACTGGTCAGGAGTGACCACAACGTGGGGATTACCATTTTCTCGTTTCTTTATAGTTCTCTATATTTTCCAAACTTTTGTCAACCGTTTATGACTTCAAAATTCTAAAACAAATAATTGGTGCCACTTTAAAAGATTAAGTGCAATCACCACACTCCAGTTTCCAGTCTTCGGCCGAGCGCCGAGAGTCCTGGTTTCTCTTCCGGTCCCGGTGCGTCCTGGGTGAGGGGCAGGCCCGGGAGGATGAGGAGGAAGAGGGACTGGAACCAGGGAGCTGAGTGCTGCCCGGCCCTGAGTGTCCCTCACCGCCCCTGCCCCAGGGCAGCTGGCAGAAGGCCGTCTACCCCTCTAAGGTACTTGGGAGGAGAGGGAGCCCTCTGATCAAAGGTGCAGGCCCCTCCTTATGCTGTCCCGTGTGCTGCTCAGCCCTGGTACACAGCAGGTGCTCAATAAATACTGACAACAAAGGGGATGCTGTTTCACTTCCAAGGAAGGTAAAAATGACTCCCAAAAGTCTAGGCTGAAAATCCCAAACAGCAGATCTGTAGATCTGAGGTCGCCCTGCTGGTTTCAGTGCAACTCCCCTTTCTCACGTCTGACCGTCTCACAGGGCACAGGCCGCTGGGGTAAAGGCACTGCCGCTTCAGCGCTCCTCCGTGCGCCCTCCACTGCCTTCCCGCTGCCGCTCCCTGTTTCAGGCTCGCACCAGAGCCCGGAGCACGTCCGTCCCACCACTGCGTCCAGATGAACCCCCCCAAGCCACCCTCCTCTCCTCACTGCCCCACCAATGTCCACATCAGCGCCCAGCAAACGCCGCAGCCTGGAACTCGGGCCCTTGACAATCTGACCTCAGTGACCTCTCCCACCCTACCACCTATCCTGCCTCTCCACACCCAGGCATACGAAGGCACTGCCGCCTCCCTGGGTTCTGATCAGTCCCTCCGGCTGCAAGTGGCGCCTGGGCCTCTAAACACATGAGGCACATTCCGACAATCGAATCACTGGGCCGGGACCAGTGGTCCTTGCCTGTGGTCGTTACTACTCCCCCTGAGGAGCTGGTCTCCGCTCCTGCAGGGAGATGCAGAGCGGCTCCCGCCTCCGGGTTGCGCAGTTTGTCGGAGGTGGCCAGGTGAGTGTCTCAGTGCCCGAAGGAAGAGCAGGGTAACCACCCGCCCTGCGAGCCAGGGCTCCGAGGGCAACGGCACTGTCTGCGGGGTCCTTATCGTTGCTATTCCAGCCCGGCTCTCCTACCACATCCTACGCTCAAGGGAGGACAAAGCCTGTGTCTGTTTTGTCGTGAGCCCCCAGCACCGGCCCCTCCTTAGGACAATGCCTGATAGACAGTCGGGACTCAATAAATAGCTGTGTGTTAATTTTGCCGAGTAACAGGCACTTAAAATCTCAGATAAATGATACTTTGGCGACTTACTGAGCATGTATTGTGTGCCTAGAACTCTACCTGCATCATACACTTAATCTTCACAACAACCCTGCAAAGCAGGTAGTATCCATCCCCACGTACAGAGGATGACTGAGGCTCAGGGAAGCCACGTTACATTTGCGAGGTCACACAGCCAGTAAGGAGGAGAGTCAAGCCCGTGCCCCTCTCTTCCCACGACACCAGGCTTCCTGGTAACTCCTGAGCCGCCCGCGAGCGTCCGCGGAGCCCTCACTCTGCCTCCCCCGTGGAAGGCAACCGCTCACCTCGATCAGGGTCTTGTCCTTCAGGGGGATCTCGCCGTTGTAGCAGATCTCCCAGAGCGTGGTCCCAAAACTCCACTTGTCAGCGGCCACGCTCAGGTTCTTGGAGTCATCCACACACTCGGGGGCAATCCACGGGATTCGCTCTAAACGCTCTGGAGAGGACAGCACACGTTTATAGACTGGGTTCTGGGATCACCCGCAGAGTAAATCCCCGGCGTTCAGCAAGAACGGCGAGGTAATGAACTACCCCAAGCAGAGCTTTCCAAACCCGGGAGCTCCTGAAAGGCCCAGCACCCATGTCTGCTTATCACAAGCTCCCAGGAGGGCTGTGTGCAGCCAGTCTTCTGAAGCTCTGGCCTCTGAAATGCAAAGCCCCAGGGCAGAGGCCAGCACCCTGTGGAGGGAGGCGGGGGTCACATGGACAAAGGCTTAGGAAAGAGAAGGGGAGAGAGGAGACCACATGTGCACAGCGGGCCCAGGCTGCCCTCACATACCCCGCACGATCGCCCTGCAATGTTACAGCCACTCCCCGGGGGTTTTCTTTCATTTGGGAGGAACAGGGAAGGCAGACTGAAGTAGAGCAGCCACACATCTCTTGCACCTGGCTGCTTCTGTAGCCCCTGTTCTGGCTTCTAACCAAGGCCACGGAACTGAGCAGAAACCTCTCCACGCCCGTGGAAAGGGCCCTCAACAAGCTCGGCGGCCTCGGGAAGTAGCCTCCTGGTTCCAGATGGACACAGAGGCAGGACGGCCGTCCCCAAGCTGGGCATTCACGGTCAGGCCCGCTTGCCCTGCCTTCCCAGCCCTCACAGGCATGTGCAGTGGTGCCCTGGGATCGTGTGCCTGCCGCTGCCTTGGTGCAGGCCCACCTCACTGACCTGCAAGGCCCGATGAAACCCTCCGGCCTCCCTGGACGCCCCTCGGCCCCAGCTGGATGACGTCTCTCCTCTGAAAGCTCACTGAGTTCACTGGCATCCCTCACGGGGTCCTCAGGCTTCCCCGCTAGTTCTAGAGTGAGCTGTGTCTGTGTCTCAGACCCTTGCTGAGGACACGACCCCTGAGAGATTCAGGGCTGAACGTGCCTCGGGCCTGATGGAGGATGGCCAGATGGTAAGTGTCAAACAGCTACTGAAGAATGCTTCCTGTCCCCTTTCAAGGAGGGGATGACTTGGGTCTTATCTGTAAGGCTTGTTTTTTATCCTGGTTCCCTTCCAAACTTAGTCCATTCTGTGACTGAATGACTGAGCAGTGCCAGGCACTGTGCTCAATGCTGCAGATGACCGGCCATCAGAGGCCCATGGCACCAGGCCCCGGGCAGGCTGGTATTCTATCTGCAGCCCATAAGGCTGAGCGATGTGACGAGCAGACCCTGCACAGTGCTTGCAGCAGTGTCTCAGCTCCCAGCTCTGTCCTTTCCTTTGGGGCCCACAACTCACCATAACCTCCTTCAAAGAGATGATGTGAGACCACAGCGATCGCTGAGCGCCTCCCCAGACTGCTCACTACCTACAGCGGAGGACCCAGGAGGCCCAACCCCGACACCTCTCTGACTCCGCCCACCCAGCAGCCTCCCTTTGGGCCAGCCCCGAACCCTGAAGGCAGCTCCTTCATCACAAAGACAGACGTGCCTCAGGGGAGGTGTGTTTCTCCTCCTGCAGGCAGCTCCCGAGGGCAAGGACCAAGCCTCCTCCGCTCCAGACGTCCCCTGACCCCCAGGGCACAGTAGGAACATCAACATCAGACTGCTTTTGCACAAGTGTGCTTTCTGGCGTGGTGCTGCCTCGGTGGGGGCAGAGGGGGGCAGGGGGAGGGTGGGAAGGGAGGTGGAGGGAGGGGAGACTCACCTTGCCTGGACAGCACAGTGATGGGGATGCCGGGGTCACTGAGCTTGATGAACGGGCCGCACTCACTGTCGATGCCCTCGCGGGCCAGGAGGAGGTTTTTAGTGCACACGTTTCCATGGACCAAGTCTTTATCCTCCTGCGGGGTAAAAGGGCAAGTTCAGGAAGGGTGCTGGCAGGCTGCCTGCCCTCCACCCTTCCCACGCTCCGTCTCCAACCCTGGCCCCGCAGACCCTCTCTCCACATTCCCCAGCTGCAGCCAAACCGGGACAGCCGAGTGCTCCCACCAATTATCTATGCGACTCAGGCACGTAATACGATGGCCCTCAGCTCCAGTTCCCTCATCGGGGAAGCAGGGATGAGGGTGGAGCAGCAGAAGGCTTCCGCGAGAATGAAACAGAACGGACCCTGTGAAACACCGCATGGCTGAAGCACGGTCAGCACTCCATAAACCTGAGTACTGTGGATGCCAGTGGTTCCCTTCCTTCACTCTCTCAACTAGTGTACTGGCCCCACTCTCCCCACACCTGAAATCGGAAGCCAGTCCTCCGACACGATGAAATTTCCCTCTCAAGAGGATTCACACGTGAGCGCACAGAACAGCCCAAAACGACCGTTTTGCTGAGCCCCAGGCACAACTGTGTCCAACCACAGAGCCCGGGCCCCTCAGCGTGCCTGGCCAGCACCTCCTTCCTGCCACTGCTTCTAGGACATTCCGGTTCCTGGTGGGGACCCCACGGACATTAGAACATACTTACCAAGTAACTCAGGGCACTGGCCAGCTGTTTGGCGACGTTAAACTTCCACGGTGTGGTGAGGACATCACTCTTCCGGTGCATGAAGAGATCCAGGGGCCCTCCCTCTACAAACTCTTCCACCATGATATCTACAAGCACAAAACAATCCCATCTGGAACCTTCCACCTGTGTGGGATGGTACTCTCCCTCATCCCTCTATAAGAGCCCCCTTTCATGGCTGGTACTCAGCTTGGGAGGACACGAGCAACCTTGCGGGGGGCAGATGGCTGCACAGGGGGCCAGGCCTGGGCTCACCCGGCCCAGAGCTCCTTCTGCTCTGATTTCAGGCCACTGAACTCAGCTTACTCACCCCAGCCTCCTGGGTCTAGCTCAGTGTGGGGCCCAGAGTTGGCAAGAAGTAAACGTTCAAGAAACGAGCGAAAAACATGGGATTTAGCTCCATGTCCACTATTAACTTAAGCAGGTGACCCACTCAGTACCTCAACGTCCTCAACTGCAAAGGCACCATAAAGGGGCATCAGCCCCCGGTCACCCTCACAGGGCTCATGCTCCCTACCCGGGACCCATCCCCTTTCCAAGAAAATACACTTACTCTCCACATCTCGGACACAGACGCCATAGAGGTACACGATGTGTTTGTGGGAGACCTGTCTCATCATGCTGGCTGCCTCGAAGAAGGCCTGTGGAGGGACAGGACAAGGATGCCAAGGGTCAGTGTCCACTGGTCTGACCCCAAAGGGGCTCTGCTGGGAGGAAAGCTCGCCACTGCCACCATCCCAAACCCTGAGCTGCTCCCCCGGCCTCACTGCCAGGGACACTGCCAAGTCCCCAGCTCCAGGCCAACCTGGCTGGGACGCAGGATTTATTCAGAAAGGTTAACAGGATGCAGAGCCAGGCTGGGGGACAGGCCGGCTGACAACTTCCCACTGGATACCCACGTAACTCTCCAGACTGAAGGGACAGCCCTGGGCTACAGCAGGGACTCGGAGAGCACTTGGCTAGAGTCCTGGGGTTCTGGGCACCGCCACGGGAGCTCTGGGAGGAAGGAGGGAGAGAGAGGGAGGGCCAGGCCAGGCGGGGGGCTGCACAACCCACCCCATCCTTATCTCCCCTCACTCATTGTCCTGGTCTGAAGACAGGAATCCTGAGTAAAAGACAAGTTTGCAAACTGTAAATGAAGCCAACAAGAAGGCGAAGGTTCTTCCTAGCCCACCGTGCTCCACTGGCTCCAGAAATGGGGGGTGTGGTGGGCAGGGGGCGGGGGGTATGATGAAGACACTTGCCAGAGAAATGTCCCTGTGGCTGGGATCCAAGACTTTGAGGATCACTTTTATTCGCTTCTCTTCCGGGGTTCCTTCGTCATCCCTGTAGTCCACTAGGGTCCCAGAGTAGATGTGCGTCCGCGTGCCTCTGCCAAGGTGCTCACCCTGAGGGAGAAGAGGGGCTGGGGCAACCTCTCCCTGGGCTAAGGCCTTAACGGGGGCACAGAACACCAGAGCGAGGGGCAAAGGCAGAAGAGCCCCACAGCTCACGGCTTTGTGCGCCTCGTCCTTAAGAGGCCTCCAGAGGAAACCAACAGCTACTCGGCCACGTGGTGGCACTTGCTGGGCCCCAGGAGAGGGTCCTCACATCCCCAACAGTGCCTTCCTTTTACCTCCAGGAACAGCCTGTGGCCAAAATACAATCCTGACCCATCACAGAACTTCAAACCGTGCCATCAACAGTCAGCGCCACCAGCCCCACCCCAGGCCAACAAAGCAGACTGAGGGCCCCGCCACGGCTCCTCACTCAGGCTGGGGTGCAGGCAGAAGAGATGCCTAAGTTCTGGCTTGACTGCTTGCTGCATTTAACCTAGGAAGGGCTCGCCCTGCTTCCCTCCATCCACGTTCTGTAAACAGGGCGCCATGGTGCCCACTCCACAGGGCTGTTGCAAGAATCCAGGGGCTAGGTCTGAAAGCTCCTGGTGCAGCCCTGGCACACGGGGCCGTCGGTCTGCTGGGCCCGTGTGTGCCGTTTGGTCACCCTAGACCAGGTGCTCGCTAGTTCTCATCCTCAAACTGCTCATTTCCTACCCATCTATGCAGTGTACGTGTGCACGTGTGCACGCATGCTAAGCTTTAAAATTACTGATGCAATTCACACATGCCTTCGCCCCAGCCATCTCACAGAGGAGGAGACGGGCAGACAGAGCAGGGGCTGAGGACAGGCCCTCAGTTTCCTTCTAGGAAAAGGGCTAAGAGCACCAGCCGAGCGCAAGAGGACTCAGTGAGATCGTCTGCACAAAGCCCAGCACATGATGATCTGTCTCTGCGGCCCCTTCCAGCTCAAGCTTTAATGATTCCGATTTAAACATTCTCAACATTTGGAAACCAAAACGTGATTCACAGAACTCAGGCACTATCAAGTTATTGACATTAACCCCACAAAACTTGTAAACTGAAGCTCTATTATTCTAGTATTCTAAGACCCCCGGTAAATGCAGAATATGGAGTGTCCCCACAGGAATGTACACAGTTGTTAATCGGGTATATTAATTTGCACAAACACCACCATTTGTCATCTGTCATAGCAGAATGGCGATGCATCCGCCCTGTCTCCCTATCCTGGCACAGCCCTGTGACTAGTCATTGAAACCACATCTGTCATGAAGCAATCCATCAAGGTTATGGGAAGCTGTGTTCCCAGAACATCCCGTAAAAGCCATATGCTTTCAGAATAATTATGCTTCCCCGGAAGGGCTGCTTATGCCGTGGCCAAGTCAGGCAGCTTGTCATCAGGATTCACAGCAACCCAGGGCCCGGCAGGCCCACATCAGCCTCCTTGCACGCTGCTCCTGCTCCCTCTGCCCAGCGCCGGCTCCTCCTCCCCCTGACTCTGCTTTGACACCACTCCCCCCGGGAAGCCATCTCTGCCCTCCCAAGGCTAGGGAGGGGGTCATCTTTGACAGTCCCCATCCCACTGCGCTTCCCCACTTGGGGCTGCTCTCTCGATAATGTAGTCATCTACTTAAGGTAGATCAGAGTCTGTGTCCTCCACCAGACTGCGCCTGCCACGCAGAGTGCTCAGTCACTGCTGGAGCACGGAGGACGGCGACCATCTGCCAGAGGCTCAGGGGAAGGGAAGAGGGGAGCCCCAAGTGCAGGTTGAGTTCTAGACAGCCAAGAGGCAGGGGTTCTGCTGCTCTTAATCTCCAGACAAGCTCTGACACCACGAGAGGGAAAGAGAACAACAAAGACGGTCCCCGGGGAAGAGTCGACAGCAAGGCACGTGAGGTGGTTACAGCCTCACAGATATTACAGCCGTGGACTTTCACTCCCTCAAAACGCTACTCAACAATTTCAGGGATTAACTTAAAGAAGTAAACCAACCAACCCCATGCCTGCCACTCTCCGCCAGGCCCTCAAAGGCAGGGAGCCCACGGTTTGCCCTCAACACCTCCAGGGTGTTGCGGCCTCTCCCGGTGGGAAGCGGCCCGGCAGACTCCTCTCTCCGAGGCTGCTGGCGTGCTGTCTTCTTACACTCCCCCAGTGGGTGGGTGCAGAACAGAAAGTGGGGTTTGCCCTGGGCCTCACGCCCTTAGCCAAGGCCCAAGGGCAGCAACGAGGGAAACAGGGCCTGCCTAAGGCTGCAGACTCTGGGCACGAGGCCCCCAGGCCTGGGACACTGGTCTGAGGAACCTGTTTCTCAAGACAGTTCTTCTCCGTCAGCCCTAAACTGTGCATCTCCCACTCCCTCACTGTGTTTAGTGTTGCGCAGCTTGGCTCCTTCTGGAAGCATCAGAAAGCCAGGACTGAACTTCAGAAGTGCTCTGCCACGTGGCATGCGGTGGAGCGACGGGGGTCGCAAGCCCGCACCCCCCGTGGAGACCCGACTCCTGCTGTGCTGTCAGCAGTACCACCGAGTGCCCCCAACCCACCATGGGAGGCCCTGCAGCCTGACTAGGCCACTTCCTTCAGAGAAAAAGCGCCTCTGGGCACATCGGCGAGGCCAGGAGGGAAGCAGGGCTCTGCTTAAACTGCTTTGACTATGAAAGGAAAGTCTCCTTGTTCACCTTCCACTAGGATGTCCCCAAACTCTACTTCACTCCTCCCCAAGTCCCCACAGGACCAAGGCGGGACCCAGGACCCGCAGCAATGACTCACTTGCACAATATCCTTCTTGAGGATCCGATCGAAACTCAGCTGGCTCATAGGGTAGACAGGCTGCCACTCCTGGGCTTTCTTAGTAGCCACCAGCAGATTGGAGATTTCTGTGGAAGAGAGCAGAGATGGCTGAGCAGAGGAGCGAGGCCCAAGACCCTGGGCAGCCGTCTGCCAAGCCACGGGGCTCGCTGGACACACATTGGTGCATGTGTGGGTTCAAGTCATTCAACAAACATTTATCAAGTATTTTATTCCTGCCCTCCAGGAGCTCACGGTCTAATAACAGAGCCAAGAGAGATCCAACAGCCAAGCAAAAGGAAAGCTACAATCTGAGCAGCGACTCTAAAGGCCAGGCCCAGGTGCTGGGGTGACACAGCAGGATCTGTGCCGGCAGGAGGTCAGGGAAGGAAACGAAATTAAAACTCTAGAAGGGAAACTCCAAGAAGGCAGGGCCCGTCTGTCTACCTCCTGCTCCACCTCCACAGCTGGCCTCAACAAACACTTGTTTACAGCGTGGGAATGAACCACAAGCGTGAGCTGAAGGACCAGAGCTGAGAGGCGGGGAGCAGCTGGGCCTGGGCAGCGATGGGAACCAAGGCAGGAGGGTAAACACTGGTTCTGCGCAGAGGAGCCGGCAGGCGACCCAGAGAGTCGCACCTGATACCACGGAGGCGCTAACCACATGGTCGCTGGACGTACAGATTCTGAGCGACCATCCTCCGAAGCCTACTGACTCAAACAGCAAACCAAACATGGCACAAAACCTGCCAGGACAGGGTCGCACAGGAGGCTAACTGGGAATTTATAATCCATAGAGGCTGCCTCCCCACCCCTTCTGGGGCTGCTGCAGGCTGCATCCAAGGCGGCCGCGGGGCGGAAAGTGGCGGGAGGATCCAGGGAGGCCCTGAAGACTCCGCGGCCCAGCTGCTGGGCACAGCTCCCCACAGCGGGCTGCATGCCTCGACCGTGGGCTCTCACACCCTCACTGCCCTGCACCGCACGGGGGGCTGCTTTCCCTTTTTCCCCAGCTCACACTTTCCGCCGGCCTTCTCTATGCCAGCCGCTGTTCTCAGTTTTACACACATTAACTCCTCTGTGCTCATGACAATCTAAGAGGTAGACAGTATTCTTATCTGCCTTTTACAGATCAGAAAATCAAGATGAAACCATTTGCCCAAGGTCGGGCAGCGAGAAGCCCAGACTCAGGGCTTCAAGCTCCTCTCTCCACAGCACACCTGGCCCAGGTCGGGGCTGACTCAGGGAGCCAGAAACAGGCCCAGGCCAAGGCTCCCCTCGTCATGCGTCCTGGGTACACCATTTCCAGTCTACTCTCCTCCATTCTGTCCCCGACTCCACCCTGTTAGCTGGGGAGAATCAGCTCAGGACTGCCTAGACGGAGAACGGACACCAAGAAGGGGCCTCCTGAATGGTCCCAGGGAAGGGTCGGGCAGAAGGGCCGTTTGGGAAACCAGAGGGTGGGAACAGAGGCCATTTAGGAGCTGATCGTTCACACGGCTGCTTCAGGGACCATGGCACGAAGCTGTAACTCCCACGAACCTGTTTCCTCACCAGAGAAAGGGGCACAGTCACGCCCCCTGGGGTGGGGTGAGGGTTAGGGAGACAACACATTGAAGGTGTGCCATGCATGCTCATGCCCCAAGCCACTGTGGCTGTGACCAGCATCACATCTCAGCCAGCGGCATCCTCCTTGCACACCAGCTGGCTCCTTGAGCCTTGGTAACAGTGTCAGAGCTGAAGGGCGTAGAAATCCACAGGTGAGGATGTGACAGAATCAGTGGCGATGGGCCGATGGCTCCTTCTTAGCTTGATCACCCTCAGACTTGAGGGGCGGTGGGGCAGGACAACACACACAAGAGGGTGATTTGCCTAACTGTCACACCCACTCTGAGGGGCTCTTTATTTATTCCATGAGGAGTTTCTCGGTTGCATTTTCGAGTGAGAAACCCAGGTTGGGGTCTGGCCATCAGAACCCTGTGGTCAGGAGGGCAGAGACACTGAGGAACTCAAAATGGCATTCTCTCCAGTTTTCATGATTTCACCACTTCTCTAATTTGCAGGTGGCAGAGAAGAGGGCTTCTGAGGGCCTTCAAGAGGAGGCCTCCCACAGGCTTCTTCTCACTCCCTACCTCCGGTCCCTCCCTGCCCCTTCCCAGCCCCCATCAGGAGAACTGGCCCTTTCCCAGAGTCTTGGGCTGACGGCCATATCTGCACCCCTTTGCAGAGAGTGTGATGCAGAGGAAAGATCACTTGAGCTGGAGTTAGAAAAGGTGAGTTCAAATCCCCATTCCTCCACTAAGTACCTAAGTGATCTCAGGTGAACGAGATAACAATGTTCTCTGGGTTGTTTTGAGGATTAAATTACTTAAAACATGAAAGACCCTCAAATAGCCTGGCAAATTGCACGCATTACTCACACAACAGCAGCCATTATCATCACCATTATGATTTATTGCTACTCTTACTGTAACTACTACTGACACTACTAGGTGCGTGGCCTTGAGCAAGTCACTGAACATCTCTGAGCCTCAATTTCCTCATCTTTCTAACAGCTACAAAGAGCTACCGCGTAGATACAAGAAATGCAGATCTACATGTCAAGTGCTTGGGACTAGGAGGCACCCACAGTACCGTGGCTATTGCCATGATCATCCACTTGACAGACACTGGTGAATGCCGACCCTGTGTGGGATGCTGTGTGCCCCAGGAGTCCGAGAGGGAGTGCAGCCCACGCCTGTCTCAGAGTTCAGGACCCAGTGGGAGAAGTAGACACTAAATGCACTCGGTGCAGAGTTGCAGAGGCCTCAACTGACGCCATGGGACAGGGGCTCGCTTCCGTTGATGTGCTCCTCCCGCCCCAGCTCCTGGCTCCCAGGTCTGGGCTCGCAGGGGTGGCATCTACACCAGAGACCCCCAGCCCCAGCTAATCCCAGCAAAGAAACCACGCCCCAGTCTCCACCCGCCACCACCTCCTGGCCTCCCGGGCTGCTGCCCTCCACTTCCTCAACCTCACCCCAGACCACCAACCCCAGGAGAGGAAGGCTTCTAAGATCTGGAAGGAGAGGCTACGTGAGGAATTAGGGCCACTGGGGTTTAAGGTCTCAATGCGCTCCGAGACCCCAGGGTCAAGGGGCAGAGGTGCTTTCTCCTTCGAGGCCGACCGTCTTCCAGCACAGAAACCCACCGCAGCTCTTCCTCGAGGGGGGAAGGAGGCCCCACATGAGCGACAGCACCCAAGTCCCTTCTCTTTACCAGGTTCGGTGATGGCCCTTGCCGGGAGACGGAAAGTGATCTGAACATCAAGAACCGGGCCCCCTTCTGCCCTGGGTGGCTTCCTCTGCTGCCCTGCTGAGAAGACTCTCAGCGGTACGCCTCAGAGGAACATGATGTGTCTCGGAGACTTCCCACAGTTTCCTGGCCACACTCACCAGGGCCTCGGGATCAACTGTGCTGCCCTCTGAGGCCTGATGCCTTCCAATGGGGGGATTCCACACACGCAGGGCGGTCCCTTGCGGGAAGGGAACGTGAAAAAAACCAGGACTCGATAGATCGAGCATTTGGGGGTCAGACCTGGCACTCAAACCCCTCTTTGACCTTGACCTTCAATGAGACCCACTTCACTTGTCCAGTCCTCAGTTTTCTCATCTATAAAATGGGGCACGTGACCGGGTGACCCGTCAGTGTCCTTCCAGTTTGCACATTCTAAGAGGCGACCAGCAGGACATCAGTGACACTGTTTACAGGGCCTAAAACAGTGCAGCTGAGTTCCCATTTCCCCTATCCATTTTACTCCCTGAGCCTCCTGGCTCCCCGCTCCCTGTGGGATAAAGTCCCAGGTCCTTGGCAAGGAGCCAGGGCCTCCCAAGGATCCACCACCTCTCGCCTCCCAGGCTCATGCGCCCCATCTTTCCAGCTCCACTGGGCTGTGCAGCAGCCTCTCCCTTTGCCTGCCGCTTTGCCCCTACACAGGCCGTGCTGGACGTGCCCTCATTGACCTGGCAACCTCCTGCTCACGTTCCAATGCGGCTCAAGCCCCACTGCCTCCTGCAGCCTTCCAGGCCATGTGCCTCGGGGGTCGTGGCCACCCTCCTCTGCAACCGCAGGGCCTGATGCGCGTCGACTCAAACGGCCGTCACATCCTGCAGTGGCCTCATGTACTAACGTTTTCTGTACTGGACTGGGAACCTTTAGGACACAGGGACAGGGTGGGTCTGAGGCATTTCTGAGTCTCTGAATCTAACACAATTCTTGGCCTGCAGAAGATGTGCCAGGAACATTTCTCAGAGAAATAAACCGCTGACAGGGAACTCAAAACATTTTACTTTAAGGAAGAAAGAAGTAAATTTCTGCTTACTAATCCCAGACACGCCTCTTTCCGCAGCCTACCTGAGACGCAGAAGAAAGCTTCCATCTTTTCTATAGTAAATGCTGACAGTGGAGGAATGCGATTTGAGTCGGGGACAGACTTGTAATAAAACTCAACGAAAAACACCTAGAAACCACGGGGAGGGCCCCTCTCTTCACCAGTCGACATCTTTCGCTTGCTTGGGTTCCCGGCGCATCGCCGAGGGGAAACGGCCAAGCTCCGGCACGGGGACACCAACCTCGGGGCTTAGGCTGGCAGCAGCGCTTCAGCACAAAGCTGATGTTGTCCGTGCGCAGGATCTGCTTCTTGAGGTGGCTCATGAGGTCCCCGAGGCTGGGGAAGCTGCGGTCCGAGCCGTGCAGGCTGTAGCAGCCCTTCTGCACCTCGATCTGAAAGTTCTTGAACTGTTTCTGGCCACCCAGCACCTGCCGTTCGGGAAGATGACCAGAAACAAGGTGTCAGTTTAAAAGGGGCCAGGCAAATGTGCCAGGAGGATGTGAGATGTTGCCAACGGGAGGCTGGGTGAAGGGGACACAGATTGCACTACCCCTGTAACATTCTGGAAATCTGAAATTATCCAGAAACAAAACGCTTATCACAAACAAGGAAACAAAACAATAACTAACAACAGGGAGTCCAGGAGAAGGCACTGATGGCCCGGAGCTAACACTAGACAGCACAACAGAGCAGTGATGGCCACGACAGCACCTCTTCATTCCGGACCTGTAAGATGACGTTCTGCTGCTATGACTACATGACACGGTGCATGTAAAAAACAGCGCTTTATAAAAGTTAGCAAACACTATGCATGAATTAATAATTACTATAGCAAAACTTATCCAGGAACTCCCTCAAACTGAGCCCTTCCAGGCCATGTGTCCATGTGAGGAGAACCGCCCCAGGAGATGGCGGTCAGCCGTCTGGTCCAGTTTTGGGATTCTGTGGTGCCAGAGGGGAAGTATAAGCAGAAGTTTTCCTTTATGGGCACTTTTAGCGGTTAAGAATGGGGGCCAGAAAGATCTACTTATGGTATAAACGAGCACAAGGTATTTAAAATCTCAAGGCCTTGGTTTTCTCCTCTGTACAGGGGACAAGATCCACTGTCCCATTGGGCTAGTGCGAGGTGTGAAGGAGAACACGTAGGTAAAGGGCTCAGCACAGTGACTGGTGAGCTAAACCAACAGGAGGGTGAGTCCTCATTTCCCCAGGTAACCTGACACGGGGAGGACCACGTCACTGAATCACTGACATTCCTGGTCCAGCACAGCTCAGCCCAGCGTGCAGGAAGACCCCATGCAGGCCGGTGGCCCCTGAGATGTTGTCCAGGACACTGGCAGCACTGGGCTCCTCCTGCCATCTCCTCTTCCCACTCCTGACCGAGCCCAGTCCCAGGGGCAGTCTGGATTCTCCTTCCTGTGTCTGAGGCCCCGACGTGCTCACGCGCTGCCTCCCATCTCGCGGCCACTCCTCGCCCGTTTTCACAGTCCATGCTGAATCCAATCAGCACTCACGTATTTACTTGGACTAATTCTGTAAAATTCACTGTCTTTTAAAATATTCCATTTCTCGCACTTAAAAAAATCACATAACAACAAAGGCATCTGTGGTCTAGCGAGGTGAAGCTGACGACTGGCTTCCACCCCAGCCTTCGGGATTCCTCTCACATCCGTCCTGGCTTCCAGCTACACGTGAGTCACTAGCAGACACCTCCACTTGCTGGCAAAACATGGGACAGCAGCTTGTCACTTAAGAGGTCTAAAGCTACCATGTGGGGAAAACCGTGTTGGCCAGGCTGCCGAGAGGGCCTCCTGGGCGCTGGCGTGTACCCGTGAACGCCACACGCACACGGCTGGGTCTGTGAGGGTCTCAGCACCGAGTGTAAAACCACCACTCTAAACAATTACACAGACTACGCAAGCCTTGGTGTAAAGTGGCTTTCTGGTCGCGTTCCCCCTTCCAGAGCGACGGGGGACCCTGCCACGGGCCCTCGAAGGAAGAAAGAAAGGGCCGAGAGGAGGAAAGGTTACGGGTTCTGGCTGCTCGGGCACCGTCTCCTCTTGGAGAGCAGGCTGCCCCCGTCAGAACTGCAAGGGATTTTCTCAGAGACCCAGGCTTTCCACCCCCTCCCCCAAGGGTGGTCCTCTCTGCAGCAGCTCCTGGACCAGGCTGCACCCAACACCCTGTGGCCATGGGGCTTGGCCCAAGCCAGTGTCCTGACTGACCTCAGACTTTTCAAAGCAGGTGACGGTCATGAGGATGTTGTCAAAGTCGGTACAGCTCCAGCGCAGCACGTACATCCCCTCCTCGCCTCCTTCTTGCCGCAGTTTATTGATGGCATATTCTGTGCTGGAGGGAGAGAGAGCTCACACCAACAGAAGCGCGCGAACCCTGCAGGGTATCCACTTCCCTGAGCCGCCTCCAGTCCCAGGGCCCCATCGCATTACCCGTCCCGGGTCCTAGGGTCCCCATGATATCACATGAGGCAGGCTGAGACACTGAGGAGCCCCGGCACAGCCGAGGCTCAGAGGTCTAGAGGAGGACTCGGCCTGCTGCCTGAGGCACTGAGCCCCCAGACACGCCGCCTCCAGCTCAGCCAGAAGGGCTCCCCCAGGCTGGGGACGCAGAGTCACCCGATACGAGGCAGTGGTGGGGGTCCCTCCCCCAGCCCCAGGCAGCACAACTAGAACAAGAGCCTCAGGAGGGTGGGGACGTGGGTTGTTCTGTTCACTGCTATACCCTCCGTAATCAGAGCATGCCTGGCTCACGGCAGCTGCTGAATAAACAACTGAACGATAAACACCGAATAAAGATACCAGTGAGCATTAGATAGATGTGGGTGGGGAACGCGCCTGTCTCACACTCCTCGCATGCCCAGCAGCAATCGGTCCCGGCACACGGAAGGCAGTGAGCAGTTGCTAAATACATCCACACCTGAGGTCACTACACCTAGCGAGTGTGCTCGCCAAGTGTGGTCAAAGAGGGCTGACGTGGTCCACCCATGTTAGAAGGCAGAGACCAACTGCTGCACAGTTCCTGAGGCCTTCATGCCCCTGCACATGTGGATGCCCCACCTCGGATGCCCTTTCCCCTAAGAACTGGTTAGTGGTTCTTCACAGTGTAATCTGGTTTGAACGCTGGCCACTCTGAGAAGGCTCCTTAGGCGGAGTGTCAGCCTCGCACGCAACAGCAGATGTTCACTCACTCAACAACTGCTTACTGAGGCCTGCGATGTGCCCGGCCTGCCCCGGGTGCTGAGGGAGAGCAACGAGCAGAGGAGACAGCACCCTGCCCTTACGGGGCTCAAGTTCTGGGTGGTGAGGCTGGGCAGACAAGAAGTAAATGGACGCAAAAACAAACAGTGCCAGGAGGTCCTAAGCGCCACTGAAGCATGACCAAGCCGAGGAAGAGAGCCAGGAGTAAGCGTGCAGGGGGAGAGGGGCTGCTCTACAGAAGGTGGCGGGGAAGACTTCACCTGCACGGTGCTGTCTGCTTGACCCCTGCAGGAAGGGTGGCTGTGCAGATTCGGCAGGAAAGGCATGCCACCCGGGCCAAGGGACAAGCAAGGGCCAGGGCCCCGCGCCTGCCTGTGGCTGGGATAGTTATCACCATGCTCAACGCCTCGCACTCAGCTCCTTGTGTGTCTGCCTCTCGTGAGTCTGTGAGCTTCTCCAGGCCTGGGATAACCAGCAAACGACCTGCCCACAGATAACCAGGACAGGGAGGAAGGGGGAAACCACGGCACGTGGAAGACAGCTTAGGAAATGCTTCCCCAGATGAATTTTGGTCTGGGAAGAGAGAGCTAGAGGCAACGAAGCAGCTGCTCTCCTCGGCCTGAAGGACAGCCACACGGAGGAGGAAGTGAACCGAACCCCCGCTGCTTCAAATGGCAGAACTCAAACGAGGAGGCAGAAGTCACAGAGAGGCGAACTTCGACTCCACTTCAGAGACGGACGCGTACTGCTAACTGCTGGAGCTAAGCTACCAGCCGGCTCCGGTAGCACCAGGTAACCCATCACCAGACTACTAATCCTGAGACGCAGGCGAGCAGAGGTCCAGTGAAGCCCCTCCAGCTCCAAGGGTCGCTCACCCTCACTGTCCCCACCACTTGTCTGGCGCTGTTTGGCACAGAAAGGGGTTAGGAAGCATGGTGTTTCTTGGTCAGCTGTGAACAGGTGAGGGGTTAACGCACGAGGAGACCGAACAGGGAGAAGAGAGGCGGCTGCTGCAAGGACCAAGACAGAAGATGCCAGGAAGGCCCGACCAGTGGACAGCAGAGACGAGACAGAGGGCACCACTCGTACCAAACAATGTGCTTATCTGGCCCCAACCTAAACCACTGATGACACCTGTGTGTGAGGAGGCCACATTCCCCATCACTGAATGTGGGTTCTTCTCACACCAAAGGCAACGGAAAGGTTCTAGAACCAACCAGATTGGACCGTGACAGCCATTCTGTATGTTGTGGACGATCAACGGGGGAGCCACGTCGGTGCAGAGGTAATGATGGGCGTCTGCTGTGAGCCGAAAGTAGCCATCTACCAGGGACACAAAGGACAAGGCCTCCTCGTGGGAAGAGAGCTTCAGTTCCTGGTGAGAGAGAAGAAATGCCCGCAGTTACGTCACATGCCTCCCATCTCAAGCGCTGACTCTACGGGGAGGCACACAGTGAGAAGAAACTGCAAATACAATGGAAAACGCAAGAACTCACAGGAAAACTCTTTTTGTTGACAGTAGCTGTACTCATTGCATTTACAGAGGACTTTGTTCCGCACAGTTTCTCATCTGTTATCCCAAAACTATCAGTGAGACAGTGTGTGTGTGTGAGGAAGAGAAGAGGGAGCTGTGGCAGGCAGGAGACCCACGGAGAAGCTGACAGCACGGTCCAGAAGGAAGAGCAAGCCTGAATCAAGGTGGCGGAGGGAGGAGCAGCGTGTGTGCAAGCGGTGCCCTGGTCTTGGCACTAAGCAATGACCGACTCAGTCAGCACTACTCCAGTTTTAAATAAAAGGAAAAGGTGCTTCATCTCATGTGGCATCTCATGTGGAGTTGGTCTACAAGGTGAAACTCCTGGATTTTAATCCAGGAACAGTCCCTGAAACAATGATGAGGTTGCCGGATTAAAAGAAGGGACCCCTGAGTTTGGAGGCAGAAAATTTTCCCCAAGTGGGAGAAGTGGGGAAGGAGGAGGGATCTCCATGGATGGAAGATTCAGAAAAACGCCTGGAGGTGAAGACGAGAGCGTTTTTCGTCTTGACCGTGCAGCCTGAGCAGAGTTTGCCATCTGGGAGGAGCCTCGGGGTCAACCAGGAGCACCTCCTGGGGAAGGCAAGTATGAAAGCGATGACTTAGAGCTCAGACCCACAAATCTTAATTAAGCAGCACCTGAGCCTTGAGAGAAAGCAAGACGGCACTTGAGAGGAAGCCCCTTTCCGAAGCCTCAGGAAAAGGGGAGGCCGGCGGCTGACAGATGGAGCTGAGAAGACCAGTGAAGGGGAGAGGGAACAGATTAAGCAATTAGCCAGGACGGAGGTAAGCGGGCCTAGCAACAGTCAGCTGTGGTGCCACAGGATGGGGACTCCGGGGTTGTGAGCCAAGGAGGCCAAGAGAGGGCAGGGCCAGCAGAGGCATGGAGGCTCAGGAAGGAGACTGCACTGAGCATGCTTCCTTGCAGGTGCGACCTGGCACCCACCTGCAGATGCCCAAAGAGCAAACTCAACAAGGTCTGGCTCGGGTGGCGCTTCACCCAGTCCCATACAAATGAGACCACGTAAGCACTCAAGCTCCCTGAGAGCAGAGTCTGAACGGAAGCAGGAGACATCGAGGAGATGCAGAGAGAAGAGGGAAATCAAGATATGACTTCATAACATGCTAGTATCATGCTTGCCTGGAAGACCGGCAGCCCCAGTACTGCCTCATCAAAGGGCTTGGAAATCCCTTGGCCAGGAAGGGATGCGGGAAAGGGACAGTGAAGAGAACACCGCACAGTGCCACCCCAGGCCCTGCACCAGCTTCACTGGATTCAAACCTCAGCATCTTCACTTGCTATTATGTTTAAGCATATGTAATCGTCAGTCATCCAGGTCAAAAGTTGTCAAATAGTGGCAATTTCAAATGGTTTAACCTAATAGCTGCGTGACCTTGAACAAGGCACTTAACCTTTTTGTGCCTCAGCTTCCTCCTCTGTGAAATGGGGATAACATTATACCCACCTCATCAGGTCGATATGGACAGGAAGAGCTGATGTCTGTACAGTGTTTGGAATAGGAAGTGCCTGGCACACAGGGAGAGGTGGTGTTCGTAGAGGAAAATAGAGTCACGGGGCGATCAAACATCTATTTCTTCCTGCCTTCCGCCTGCTCCCTACACAGCACTGAGGCTTGGCAGAGTTGCCGGCCCACGTGGTCAGAGTGAGCTCTGCCTCGGACGAGCGGCGCAGCAGCCAGGGGCTGGACTTGACTCCGTCAGCCAGGGCAGGACAGGGGCAGGCTCACAAAAACTGTGCCAGCTGGCTGATGCCTCTCCAACCCTGCCATGCGTCTTCAGGGTTTGGCCGTGTTGAAGACCAGACCACGGCTGGGCCAAGCTCTCCATCTACAGGGTCTCTGGGGAGGAGAAGGCCCTGGAGCTGCCGCGTTCCCACCCCGGGACCCTGGACCAGTCCCTGCAGCTCTCTGTGGGTCTCAGCTTCCCCTCCTGGGAACGGGGCCCAAATCCCCACATCCCAGGCTCCTGTGAGCCCTGAAGAAGATCACGTGGACACAGTATGTAACAGGCGAATGTCTCCAATACGCTGATAAACCACACCTCTTCTCATTCCTCCCTCCATTTTCCATTTTCCACTAACATCCGTCTGGGCTTTTCTACTTCTCCCTTCACTTTGGTTTTTAGTACAGTCTCCTGATGAAACTAATGTACATTTATTGTTAAAAAAGAGGGAGGTCCAGTGGGGGGCAGGGGGCAATAAAGAAATTAAAATCACTCATAATCCACCATAAATAACAGCTGTTAATATCTGATTATTGGTCTAAGAGCATGTGTACAGATATGCATATGTTTTTTAAATTTTTTGAACAAAATTGGTACCATTCTATAAATAGCTTTATATTCTGCCTTTTTCCATTTACAAAACACTGTTCCAAACTATTAAATTCAGCAATTTGTTTATATAATATTCTACTGCTCAGGGGAATTGTGATTTATTTTCCCATTCTCCTATTATTGTCAATTTAGGTGACTTTCAGTGTTTTGACACTGTAAATACTGTTAGGGTAAACATCCTCATTTACAGCCCGCTGCCACCATCTATCACTGTCTCTGGAAGACAGAGCCCAGGTTCCTGGACAGAAGGATACAGAAGCACTTTCGAGGCTTTTCATGCATGTGGCTGAGCCAATTTCCAAAAGGTGTACGGAAAAGATGAGTCACTCTGTATGCAGACTGTGGCCCCCTGTCCTAAACCACAACACCAGATTCTTTCCCAGCACTGAGTGCTACCCTTGCGACACACTATTTGCCAAATTTTAGGCAAAACATGGCAGTTCCCTGGTGTTGACCGCCCTCACTTTGTGAGGGTGCCTGCCTCTCCAGCCCGTCCTCGTCCCCTCCACGTGTCGTCAGCCGTGACTTGCCCAACACAAACATGTTTATTTTGGCAAGGCTCCCACTTCCCCTGCCAAACTGCCTGTCTGTCTAGATTATGTCCTCACTGATAGCAAAAATGAGGAAGTGAGACTGAACACCCCTTCCTCTGTCTGAGAGTCACTTGGGTGTGCCTGACACCATGATGAGGACTGCCACTGTGGCCACAGCCACCAGCCTGACACCGCTGAAGTGCAAAGCCAGGCTTCGCATCAACCACAGCCCAGATGACCCACCCAACTGAGCAGAGAGGCCATACCGGAGCCCTTGGGGAAAAGCGCTGACATCCACCATCTTCTTTTCCTTCAAATCCACTCACCTTTGTGAATTAAATATTGATGCTGAAATATCTTTGGGAGGCAGCAAACTCTGAAGCAGACACACATTTGCGAGACCAAAGAGGGACACTGAAACGTGCCAGTATAACTGAAAACTGACACTGATCATGTCTGTGTCAGCAACAGGGACTTTTTGGCTTAAATAAGACAATCATCAGATTTTCTCTTTGGGACAGGAACTCTGAAAAGCCTGTGTTGCACAACTGTGCTCAGCAAAGTCTCCTCTCGTCACCAGACCCAGACTGAATGGCTTCTGGAGCAAACTCACCATTTTTTTGTTGTCTTGTTTATTAATGCTGACCACAGACTCCTTGATTACAACGTGAGTAATTTCAGGGAAGTAAGAAAAATTGTTCCACTCTTCCCGGATTTTGTTTTTCTCCTCATCCTTCTTGTATTTATTTTCCAGTTTTTTCCGTTTCAGTTTATTTTTTTCCTTTTCAACAGGAACAACCTGATAAGATGCACAAAAGTGACAGAGTTAAGTTGGCTTTTTCATTTTCTTTCAGTAAAAGGTCAATGCTTCTGGCAAACCAATGCAGGGTCTACATTTCTCCAAAGAAGAGAAAACCAGCGTGCTCGGATTTACAGGGGAATGGGGAGAGTTGGCATCCACGGGCTTGGCGTCGCAGTTTTGGGTCCGATCAGGAATTCCTGGGATTTTACACCTGGAAGAGCCTTTACTGAGCACACGGACTAAACTCTTTGCATAGTAATCTCAGATGTTCAAGTAAATTCAGAAAGGGCAATAACTGCCCACTAGACGTGCATCTATGACCAGATCCCCACACTTCGCACGGAGACACGGTCTCAACACAGCCAGAGAACATGTTCCTCCCAAATATGAACGGACCGAACGTGGGCATACACGTCTGCATAAGGTTAAATATGTTGTGTAGCGTGAGTCTTGAAGACTAGAGATCTGGGTTAAGATCCCGCCTATGCCACTTACGTAACCAGTTAGGTCATCTCTTTGAGCCTGCATCTCCCCATCCCTAAAAGAGAGATCTTACATCTTCACGAGGCTCTCTGAGATTTCATAAGTTCTTGTCAACACAGTACCTACTGCATGGAGAGCACTCAGTAAGCATTAGGCATTGTTATTCTAGCAGGAGAATAAAACAGGAGGAGAAAATGAATCTCACCTTGACTTCAATGTTATTATTTACAATAATAATAATGACAAGAGCAGCTATAATAATTTATCGAACCTTTATTATATCCCAGGCTCTGTGCTAAACGACATTCAGTTCTCTCAACAATCCTGTGAGGTAGATACGGTAAGAATCTCCACTTTACAGATGAATAACATGTGTCTGACGCAGGTGAAGGAACCCTCCCAAGGCCACAGAGCTATGACTAGTGGAGCTAGGATTTGAACCAGGTCTGCTTAGGTTTAAAATCCATGTGATTAAACCACTCTGCTCTATCGCCTCATCCTACAAACACTTCAAAGAGAAGCTTCGAATGGAAAAGTCAATTACCTTACTTCATGGAGCCAGAGGCCCAAGTCCAACTCTTGGCACAATCGCTCATTAGTTAGTTATGACCTTGGGCAAGTTTCTTAACTTCTCTGTGCCTCTTTGTGTTCATCTATAAAACAGCGATAACGGCAGTATTCCCCTCAAAGTTTTTTTTAAGGAATGAGCGGGTTAATACATGTAAATGCTTAGAAAAGCACTTGGTACATGGTAAGCATGCAGTAAATGTCTGCGGTTATTATTTATATTATTGTATATTATCTACACTGTTATTATATTTCTCTATTTCCCTACAGAACTCAATAAATATTTATTTAGACCTACTGCTGCATGGATGCAATAAAAGATGAACAATACATGGTTTTGAGCCTTTATTTAGACTCAGCTGATGGGTGACGGACATGCAAACAAATCATTCCAACAGCGTGAACAGAATATACCATGTGACACAGGATGTCGTGTTTTGATCAGCCACCTAGCACCACTTACATTTGGTTTCTGCCTCCACTGGATTCCAAGATTTCCAGTCACCATCACTTCATAGTAGAGAATGTTTCCACTGTCATTCAGATGAAATCGATTCATCTCATTTTCTGATGAAATCAGTAACTCGGAAGTCTCAAATATTTCAGCACCATAATGTTTTGTCAAAGTTTCCAAGGTGGCCAGGTACTTCACCTTCAGGTCGTGCATGGACACGCTGCTGTCACAAATGGTCTTGTTGTTAAATTCCTTTAGGAAATCCTTGAAAACATTATTTATCCGCATCCTGGTGAGAAGGTTCCTCTGTCTGATGGACTTATTCAATGTTTCTGGAATATATCGCTTGTAGCTAAAAGAGAGCAGGAAAATACATCTCTTTTTCACATACAGATCAGCAGAGAATAGCTTAGAAGCAAGCCTAAGTCTACAAATCTTCCACGTGTTGTCGAATGAGAGAGGAGGACCTTCTTGCAGAGGGTGTTAGATGGGGTGGGGATGAGGACGACAAGGGTAAGGACACGGAGGTGGACAGAGACTGAAAGAGGACAGGAAGGCACTCCACACAGCTCCCTGATGCAAGAATCCTCACAGGTATCATCACACGGTCTAGGTCACAAAGGCAGGAGGCAGAATCAACTTGCCTACGGTTTTCTCTTGCTAGTGTTACCACTCCCACGCACGTCAGTGCTCACCTAGACACATGTGATTACACTCGGTTTCAGCTGGACAGCGGTCTGAAAGGGGTCCAGTGTGACAGATGCTTGGTATGCTCTACTTGCATGTCTGTTTTATGATTTTTCTATAGAGATCTCATACTGTTCTTATAAGAAATGGGAAAAACACATAAAAGCTAATTAACACGAAAGACAGTGTTTGCTATGTGAAAATGTCCCCAATACATTACACAGATCAACAAGTAAACAGAAAGATTATTACTCCTCTAGATGCTAACAGGAGAGTATCTATGACTAACAGAATCTCAACAAACTGATGCACAGCTGGAACAGGAGCCAGTTTTTTTGTTTTTGTTTTGAGGAAGATTAGCCCTGAGCTAACATCTGCTGCTAATCCTCCTCTTTCTGCTGAGGAAGACCGGCCCTGAGCTCACATCTGTGCCCATCTTCCCCTACTTTATATGTGGGATGCCTACCACAGCATGGCATGCCAAGCAGTGCCATGTCCGCACCTGGGATCTGAACTGGCGAACCCTGGGCCGCCAAAGTGGACTGTGTGCACTTAACTGCTTCACCACTGGGCCAGCCCCCAGGAGCCAGTTTTAACAAGAGTAAAAACACCTACGGAAGAAAGAACACGTCCACTGGGGGCCCGACACACAGGAAGACCTGTCTGTCTGTTACTCCCAGGCCCAAGATGGCACCTGGCACAGGGGAGCCCCTGAACAAATGGTTTCAAAAGAGTCGAAAACTGTGAAGTTTGGAATTTATCCCCAGCAAATATCATCTTTTTTAGATGAATGTAATGGAGACAAAGATTAGAGAAGAGTTTTCATTTTTTACTTGAGGCTTATGAAAAAATAAAGAGGAGGCGCCCAGAGAAAAAGCCACAGGAGAAAGAGACAGTGGCAGCCAGGCAGCTCTTCAGCCCAACATCACTGAGGAGCAGCTGTGCTCTGCTCCTAACTCTGGTCCAGGGCAAGGACATCCGAGAAGCAACTCATGAGAAGATGCATGCCGCTACCACAAATAATACAGCTAAAAACAGCTTCCTCTTCAAAATGAGATGGCCCTCATTTACAACAATCACAACAGCTCACTGGTTAAAAAAAAAAAAGACTATTTCTTGGATGGGTGGAAATTACACAGATTGAATACTAAAGACTTGATCACAAAGCATACTTAAGGAACAGCTGACCATCCTTCACGTCAGAATTAACAGCTCTCCAGCGAACTCTAGTTCGGGCTGGGGTGGTAGTAACTGCCCAGAGAGCTACATTGAGAAGATTTTAAGATGAATCCAGCACAGAAGGAAAAAACACAGTGATAGACAGCAGTGCCCACCACGGGCAGAGAGGGAAGGGGCGGGCATGTGGGCCACTAATCTGATTGGCATTTCTGGCCCAGAACTTTCACCCTAGTACAAATTTCTGAGGTCATCAGCCAACATTCAAAATTAGGACACACAGGGCTTTGCAGAAAGCAGAGGTCAGCCAAAAGCTGGAGGTGGTTAAACTGAGATGTATGAGAACACATAAAAATAACACCAACCCCACAATCAACGCTTCAGCTAGCAGGAGGCTCACCTGATGTCCTTGGGAAGCTCTGGCAACTGCATCTTCTTCATCATGGCATAGTGCGAGATGGCCAGGACAGCCATTCCCAGGCACTCATTCTCAATGTCGTGCCCATCCTGCTCAGTCTTGGGGTCTCGAATGGGAGCCAGGCATTTGACCAAATCATACTGTCCCTTTGGAGCGAGGGGAGAAGAAATGAACCACCACTTCAGTTTCAAGAGTACCACCCATGTTTCTGACGTTGAGAAGAAGGTCCCACACAGGGAGGTGCCATCCAGAAAAGCAGTACAGCCATGAGCCTAAGGAGACTCACAGTTTCTCTGGCATCAGAGCTCATTCTCATCAAAGTGGGCATGAAGGGGCTCAGGAGATGTTCTCCACAGGGTAATTCATTCCTCTAACAGTCATCGAGCACCATTCTAGATGCTGGTGAGCAGCACCATCAATGAAGCCCTTCATGGGACTTACCATACAATGATGGTGAAGAGCAGCGTGTCCCAGGCGTGGACTGCACCAGGCCAAGGGAAGGTGACAGCTGGCGGGGGTGTGATCATTCATTAATTCCACAAATGTGCACTGAGCTATCCTAGTCTAGGAATCGGGTGTATAAAGTTGACAGGCCACCACACCCCATTCTGATACAGATTTAGAGAAAGAAGAAGAAATCCACATTCTACAGTGCATCCTTATCACATATAAGTACTGCTCAAGTTTCCAGTAATGAAATACATCCCCCAAATACCCTTCTCGTTGACGGAGGTGCACAGCATTCCAAGAACCAACAAGGGCTTCAGAAACAAAACTAAACTGAAAAGCAGTTCCCACCTGCCTTGTGCAGAGTGATAATGACAATGTCAACACTGGCTCCTCTTTATTAAAGCCTCACCTCAGTGCTAGACACTGTGTTCAGCCCCTTTGTTTACTATCTCACTTCATCTTCGAAACAGCCTGTGAGGTGGGTGCTGACATCGTCCTCTCTAACAGATGAGGACTCAAAGGCACCAGAAAGCTGAATAACTGCCTTCATCTACTTGGTGATCAGCCACCACTGAGACCCAGTTAGAGGCCAGATGTTATTCTAGGCTCCAGGGATACAGCAGTAAACCCAACCACGTCCCTGACTCACAGAGACTCCTTCCCAAGAAGAAAGAAGAAACAAACAGAAAGAGGTAACGTCAGGTAGCTACAAAAAACAAAGTCAAGCGGAAAGAGGAAGTGCTGTGGGGCAGGGACCAGCGAGCGGCGGGGCAGAGACTCAGACCCAGATGCGGCTCCAGGGCTCCGGGTCTTCATGCCTGGCTACAGCCGAGCTCGATCTTTACCAGCTGATGGAAAGTGCACAGACTTGAAGGATGGTGAATGCTGGCGCCTTCTCCAGCCTGCACAGAGGGAGCCACGCAGCCTGGCTGGTGCTCCTACGTGGGTCAGGCAGCAGCTCCCCTGAAGGGCGTTCTGGTTCTGGAGGGAGGGTTCACTCCGCTGCACTTCCCCTGGACTTCCTGTTTCTCAGGTAAGAAAAGGACACTGACCACTTCCACAGCCCACTGAGGACGCTGCAGCAACGTCCAGGAGTGAACCCTGAAGCTACTCTCCACGGCTGTGATTTCCTACAAAGATCACAGTGCAAGCCCTCAAGTACCTCATTCCTGAACTCTGAAAGGTCAGATTCTAACAACACATTCCTGAAGGACGGCACCCTCTTTTTCTACACTTCCTCCCAAAAACGGTTAAAGAATAAATCTCAGATGTGAGTACATAGAACTGGGAGGCTGAAGACAAAAGGACCCATCTGAAAGGCTAGTTCACTGCATTTCTGCAACACAGCACCCGCCCGGGCTGCACGCTGCCTCACCGCTTGGTCGTCTCTAAGGTCAGTTCTGAGGTCTTACACAGGGGGCACTGGTAACCACAGCTGTACCATGGGACACAACTGTGACGCAAAGGCACCTGTGGGAAAGCAGGTCCTACAGAAATCACAGAAGGGACGCACACCCAAACACGTGTGCATGCTGTTGTTCACAACAGCCTATAACAGTGACAGCAGAACAGGGAAAACCGAGAAACACCAAAAATGTCCAGAAATGGGGATTAAATAAACGACGGCTCTCCTCTGGATTCCAGCCTCATACTCAGCTTCCCGCCTGAAGTCTCCACTTGTACGTCACATAGCTATCTCCAAAAGGGAGCCACTGCCCGCCCTTCTCCGACCTGCGGCCCTGTCTTCCCCGCGTGGCAATGATTCCATGCCCATCCAACATTGCCCGGAACAGAAATCTCAAAATTGTCTTTGATTCCTCAAATTCCCTCACCTTCCACATCCAACCCACTGGCAAATAATACTAATTCTATCTCCGAAATCAATCGCAGATCCACCCATTTTCTCCAACTCTACTGCCACTACCTAAGCCAAACCAGCATTTTCTCGCCCCTGGAGCCGTGCGGCAGCGCATCTCAGCTGCTACAGCCGGAGTGTACGCCCAGCCCCAGCACAGCCCACTTTCCATACACAGGCAAGAAACATCACTGACTTCAAAGAGAAACAAAACCACACCCTCCGAACAGCTCCCCACTGCCTCAGGGTGAAGACAGCGCTTCCAACTCCCACTCCTACGAGACTGCGCCGTCTACCCCAGCCTGCCCTGCTGCTCTCTCTTCTTCTCACCCTCTTCTCCTCCGGCCACAAGCACTCTCCTCTCCGCCCCTGCCCGCCTCAGGGCCTCCACACATTCCATTCCCTCTACACCAGGTGTTTTCAACCACAGAGACTTTGCCCCAGGGGGATACTAGGCAATGTCTGGAGACACTTTTGACTGTCACAACTGGGGGACGCTCTCCCGGCATCTAGTGAGTGGAGGTCGGGGTGTGGGTAAATGTCCTACAACACACAGTCTCACAGCAAAGAAGGATCCAGCCCAAAATGGCAGTAGTGCTGCTTTTGAAAAACTCTGCTCTACACAGAAGAAACGTCTCTCCACTCCTCCCTTAGAACTGCAGACACCTTTTTATTCTTCGAGATTCCGTATAAATGTCACCTCCTTACAGACCTCCTCTAATCACACTATAGTCGTGCACCACATAATGACGTTTCAGTGACCGATGGATCACACATAAGACAGTGGTCCCGTAAGACCAGCACACAGGGCTACACCATCTAGGTTTGTGTACGTGCACTCTATGATGTTCGCACAACAACATCGCCTAACGCCGCTTTTCCCAGAACTCACCCTGTTGGTAAGCGATGTGTCACTGTACTTAAATTAGGTCTCCCCACTCAAAGCCCTCTCCCCATACTCTCTATCACAAAGCTTTTTCCTTCATAGCACTTCTCACAATTTCTTACGGATTATCTGCACATCATTTTATTTGCTTGTGCGTTTTCTGTTCATCCAACTCGACTACACGTCTGATGCCTGCAGGGCCCACAGCTGCCCCGTTCATCACAGCACCCGCGGGGCCTCAGCAGAGCACACAAATACTCAGAGAAGTGGGTGCTGCATAAACGAATTGTGAGGAAGCCATTAAAACAACCAAGATCTATCCTTCTGATTGACATTGAAGGATCATCAATAGGGTGAGTAAAAAAGCAGGGTATAAAATGATCTGAACAGTAAGACACTTCCCAAAGCGACCTTACAGAAGACCTATTTGCGTGGTAAAGTCAGGACGCACCTAAAGGGAAAGGTCAGTTATCTCAGGGGGGCTCTACCTTCTCCCGACGCGTTCCTCCAGCGTCTCCTCTCCCAGCCCACCGCTGCGCCTGCAGCGGCCACCCTCCCTCCCCAAACGCACTCCTACAGCTGAGAGTGCCTTCCTCAGCCCACTGCCTCCAGTGCCCTGGCTCCCAGCCTCCCTCTGCTTTCTGCTGGGGAGAAGCGATGGCAGGAGGCGCGGGGCGGGGGGGGGGGAGGGAGGAAAGAAATGGGGCGAAATGAAGCCTCAACCAGGCCCAGGTCAGGTACCAGCCCCTTGGCATGCTGAACTGCCTTCCCCTCCTCGCTCAGCAAGTGCTAGGTGGTGAGAACACCCACAGAATGGGCCATAAGCCTCTGAGCTGCCACCGGGGTCAGTCAGCTGCAACAGGAATTCTCAACCTACAATGTCTCACCCACCCCAGGTTCTCCTGCGCCCAAGCTTCCTACCTGAGCAAACAGATACTCCAGTGAGCTGGCGTCGAGGAGAGGGGTTGCATCTGTAACTTTCTTTTTATCGTAGCCATTTTTCTGCTTCTTTGGAGAATGGCGCCATACAGACTGCTCATTATCGTTGGTCCCATGCCAGTTGGTGAAATAGAACCTGGAAGGCAGGAAAACGAATGTCAACTGTGGGAAAGCCGACCCTAGAAGGCGTGGGAGAGATGCCCTGCTTGTCCCGTCTGATCAGAGCCGGAGAGCCGAGAGCAGAGCCTCAGCTGTGCAGCACTTCACTGCGGGGGTCCTTCCTTCTCACTCGCAAGCACTCTGGGGGAGTCCTGCCAGAGCCGCGTCTACGACTCCAGGAGACAAGGTAACTTTCTTAAGATCACAAAGACAGCTCCTCTGACTTTGCAGCACTTCTTCCTAAACAGGGCAAGACTCCCGACAGAACCAGGAGCTGGCCCAGCAATGCCCTTCGCTTTCAACGATGCCATCCTGCCTTGAATCCCAGACCTATCTTACTCAGTTTAACACTACTGAAATCTAGCTTCATCATACACTCACATGCCAGGGATGCCACCAGCTGTGAGCACCCCCATGCACAGGACAGTCAGTCACACCCACAACCACAGAAAGCAACAGTCCAGGGGCGTCTCCTAAGCAGGACGACACTGACACTGTCAGGGACCCCACACAGGCTTCCCTTCCTCCATAAAAAACATTAAACTTGTACTTCACCACTCTGTTGGGATAAAGATGAATATAATCTAGACTGAATTGTATTCATTTTTTTCTCATTTTGAATCAAATTAAAACACTTTTGTGGGCCCCTAAGAATACTGAGAGCCCTAGGCCTTGTGCCTAATTGGTAAGTTGTCCCTGGACAGAAGAGAGTGTCAGATAAGGTGCCAAAGGAGCACCAAGGAGGAAGAAGCTGCCGTCTACTGTGGGTGGGGCGGGGGGAGGATAAGGAAATGATTTTAAAGGCAGAATCAAGGTCTTACAACTTTCAAGTGCTTCTACACAACTGGTCTTCCCCGTATCTTATGGAAGTGACGGAGAATTGGACTGCGGGCTTTGTGTCTCTCACACAGAAAGAACCGCAGATCCACGGAGTCCACATGCAGCACACACCACAGCTGTGGAACTGTCCCCTCCCCTCCTACGGGAGAGAGGACCAGGCCCTGGGAACAGGAGAAGCCTGAGGCTACTGGCTGATGAAGAGGATGGCACTCGTGCTGTCCCCAGGCCCAGGAGCCCACTCTTCAAGGGAGCGACAGAGCACAGGCCAGGAGGACTCACGCAGGGTCGGCTCTCCCGGGCAGGCAGAAAGTAAAAGCGGATATAGCTCTATCCACCAGCTGAGCAGATACAGGAAAATCTGACATTGGAGCAGAAAAAAACGGATGAGGACACAGCCACCTCCTCTGATTACTGAGGAAAATCCAAAATGGGGAGTTCTCGTAATTCATACAATAACTAGAGATCTACTGGCAGTTCTGGGGGTCTGCCTGGAAGAGACAGGTGAGGGGGTCTAAAAAGGATGCTGATGAGAGCAGCTAAGAGCTGAGCGCTGCGCACGCTCCAGGCACTGCACACACAAAGGGTCAGAGCGGCACTTGACCGGGGGCACGCAGGCTGACGGCGAGGGAAGCTGGTGACGAGAGAGACACGAGGTACGGCAGGGAAGGCTCCCTGGGGAAGGAGGAGAAGGATCTCAAGCAGGGAGGAGGCTGTCTGAGAGAAAAGCAATGAAGGATTGTCCCTGAACCGGTGCCAGCGTGGCCTCTCCGGCCGCATCCCGCCAAGTCTCTACCACAAGGAGCCCTTAGAGCTGGTGGAGCAAAGCGCTCAACACTCCCTTCGGGCAGGACACAGGCGGCCCTCGGGTCTGAACAAGGGCGTTCTTCGAGGCTGCTATCTGAGCCCTGCGGGCGCTGTGGCTGGGAAGCCTTTGGGTGAGATGTTCAGACAGGGCAGGGCTAAGGAGATCACACAACAGGAAAGGCTGAAGGAGCCTAAAGCACTGGCCGAGGCTCTACAAAGTGCCTCGAGTCAAGGCTGACGGCTTTCCATCTAATAACACAAACAAACCCCTTAAATCAGTGACTACCAAAACCAACACCTTCCCAATCGCTAATCAGACAAAACTAGAAGGTAGATTGAAGACGAATTCTACACTCCTATTTAAAGTGTATTATCGAAGTGTTCAGAAAACGTGGGCCACAAACAAATTTCTCATATTAGAACATGTCAGTGGGGAAAAAAAAGAATGACATAAACACATGTAGTATGACAACTGCCTGGATTCCTCTGCAGAATGACAAAGAACAATGCGAGAAGGAAGGAGGGCGAGAGAAACAGACAGACCTATCAATGAGAGATGCGCCTTCCTTGCGAGTTTTTGAGAAAATTTTAACACAGATGATTGCACATTCTAAGTTTATAATATAGATACTACACACAACAAATTCTCTCTAGGTTTCTTTAGAGCTTTACTATCGGATACTGAAATTCATTTGGATGAAAAAGCAAGGAAATATTTTCTTTCTTAAAAATGAATACAGAGGGGGCTGGCCCCGTGGCCGAGTGGTTAAGTTCGCGCGCTCCGCTGCAGGCGGCCCAGTGTTTCGTTGGTTCGAATCCTGGGCGCGGACATGGCACTGCTCATCAAACCATGCTGAGGCAGCATCCCACATACCACAACTAGAAGGACCCACAACGAAGAATATACAACTATGTACCGGGGGGCTTTGGGGAGAAAAAGGAAAAAATAAAATCTTTAAAAAAAAAAAAAAAAAATGAATACAGAGAATGCTTGTCTTGTATTAAGATATATTAGGAAACAATAACTATCAAAATCATTATCTAAAACCAGAAAACTCTAGTTAAAGTACAAGAGTATTTCCCAAAATAGAGCTGGGATTCCACTGAAATAGTCACCAACACTTATTCTCACATTACACCTTCTTTAGTGGTGAGATAATAAGGTTTCAAAATGTTTGTAGTTTGTTGTAATGCAAATGTTTCAGCTGAGGGCGGGATCTTTTGTCCCAAGTTCAAAGAGCCTGTGGTACAAAGCAATATCCTGTTGGAGCGCAGTGTCAGGTACAGAGTCAAGGTGCCAAAAGCGAAGCAGCTGTGCACTTCCTGGCCGCCGACAGAAACGGGGGGCAGGCAGAGGCAACTTTAATGGCGAGGCGTTCACACAACCAACAAAGACGAACGCCCCAAAGAGGATTCTAGTGTCAAGGAGATAATTCGTTATGTAAACGACTTGGGTAACACACTTCTCTTTTTTGGACATCAGTTTCCCCCTAAGAAATAGGAAGAGTTGAATTAGGCAGACTCAGGTCTCTTCCAAGTCCTAAATTCTACCATTCTAGATTCTGAGCCACGTGCAGAAACCTAGAGAGAAAGACCCAGAACTCAGTGACATGCCCCTTCCCAGAAGGCAAGCTGCAAGCATGTCTCAATGCCAGCTCACACAGCCACCCCTGGCCGCAGAAAGCACGGCCACACTGCAGAAACCAACTCCAAACACAGGCAGAAGGCGCAGCTGGGTGCAGTGAATGCTTGCCTAAATCTGGGGAATGAATCTCACACAGCACACACCTCTCCTCTTCACGTGAGAACTTAGGTGAGCACAGAAAGAAGAGAAAAAGTCAGCCCTAGGATGATTCTCAAAGAAAGGAGATCTGGTTCAGCTTCCACTGAGAAAAACATCTAGGCCACTCTGGATTGGTAACAACTCTACGGACTTCCTAAAGGAAATAGCAGCCAAGATGCTGTGGGGGCTGGCCCCGTGGCCAAGTGGTTAAGTTCCCGCGCTCTGCTTTGGGGGCCCAGGGCTTGCAGGTTCGGATCCCGGGTGTGGACCTAGCACCGCTCATTAAGCCATGCTATGGTGGCATCCCACATAAAATAGAGGAAGATTGGCACAGGTGTTAGCTCAGGGCCAATCTTCCCCCCCAAAAAAAGAAAAGGTACTAAGGAGAGCATACCGTCTGAGACCCCTGAGGGATTTCCAGCCCGTCCCTGCATTCCATTAGCACCTGAGCTAACCTACTGTTTAACCACTTCTATGTAAGTTAAGATCCTTTTCTAGAGTATTCATCTTATTTATAAGCTCCTTTGCTAAACACATATGCTAACTTGTGCTTAACTAGTGCCTAACAAACATACTTTCAATTCTAGTACAGAACCAACGTGCTTATAAACTCAAGAGACTACAGCCATGAAGTCCCGCCTGTCTGTGCTGCCCTGGGAGACTGTGCGACATTTAACAAGGTCCACAACATGGGAGAAAAGACGAGTACCCATCAGAAGCAAACTTAGAGGGGCACTAGACAAAACCCTCAAGGAGTCGGGGGGACACCCACCCCTGGAGAGCAAGACCCACCCAGAACTTCGAGGACACCACTTTAGCAGGGTCCCCAAGCTCTTCACCTGTAACTTTTAATAAGAAATACATTTTATTACAGCACCACCTAGCACATACAGACATATGTCTCAAACGAAAGCTTTCAAAAACAGTATTCACAAGAGATATATATACATACGCTGACATTATCTGTTCTTGTCGGTTTCTTTCCTATTTAAAAAATTCTGGTCACAACTCACTAAATTAAATTCATAACCATGATTCATGTTTGAAAAACTGCTGTAGAATACCAACTCTATTCGAAATACCCTCTGCCTCATAACGATTTCTTTCCTCAAATGTGGCAGAGGAACATGACCCAACGCATCTTCCAGATGGTGAAGAAGTCCTTTCTCACACCAGCAAACACAAACCCACAAACTACAAAGACACCACGAGACTTCCTGGTAAGGGGCTCTGGGCCCACGAGCCGCCCTCCCCGCAGAAGCCGCCAGGCAGGCACCTCATCCGGTAATGGAGCCGGAGGCACGTCTTGTCGTCCACCGTGATGGTGCGGTTGGGAGCAGACCAGAGCCTGGTGTTCTCGTCATACAGGGCAAAGAGGTTGTGACACAGAGGAGAGATGCCTGCGGAAGGAGAGAACAAATCAGACACTAATGACAAATACACTGGGCCATCTGCTTTCGAAGCATGACATATGCAAAGACAGGAATCCTCTCAGCCACACAGAATCCAGTCACATTTGCATCTCTTAGGGCAAATACAACTTTCAGCCATGTTCAATCAGGCAGTTTTAACCATAATAACTAAGAACTGTGGCTCCCCAGAATATACACTACAGCTCCTCGCAAACCAGCTTAAAACCATTTTAAAAAAGAAGACTAGCCCGGTGCTGTGGTGTAGTGGTTAAGTTCGTGCACTCTACTTCAACGGCCCCGGTTCACGGGTTTGAATCCCGTGAATGGACCTACACCACTGGTCAGCCACACTGTGGTGGCGATCCACATACAAAATAGAGGAAGACTGGCACAGATGTTAGCTCAGGGACAATCTTCCTCAAGCAAAAAAAAAGTGGAAGATTGCCAAGAGATGTTAACTCAGGGCGAATCTTCCTCAGCAAAAAAAAAAATTAAAAGAAAAAGAAGTCGTCTAATGATATTTCTCATTAAAATGTCTACAATAGAGTTGCACCAAACCCTGCTTAAAAGAAAAAAGGCCATCTGAGAGGGTCCCAGGTCCCACCTGATGTGCACCTTGCCAATCACAGTCAGAAACAGCCTTGGCATCTGGGAACTCCCCAATCTGTCTCCTACAGAAAATGTTTAAACAATTCTAACACGCAAAGAAGTACCTGGCAGTAGCACATGAAACTGTGTGTTAGAATAAATAACCAAAGTGATTTTTGTCAGTGACTAAAATCTACTACCATTAATAATAAACACGCTTAAGTACTCTGTATAGCTGTCATAAATATTTCTTTTTTTTCTTTTTATTTATTTATTTAAATTTTTATTTTTTTCAGATGTACATCATATTTCAAATTCTGGATACATTACATCATGTTCACCATAAAATTTCTTATTAGTAGCTAACTAGCAAGAAGATATGCACTTAATGAAGGCGGTCCAGAACCGCTCCCTACTCCCCTACCCCACAAACCGTCTGCTTTATACATGAATGATCAACAAGATAAGGGAGATTATGAACCAGGAAAGCACCTGTCCACTCACTTCCGAGCCCATGGTTAAAATTACAAAGACCTGTAATCTACATGCATGGGGGTGTGGAGGAAAACGAGGGCAAACAATCAATTATTACTGATATTTTCATGTGTGGCCAGGTCTCAAACTGCGATACAGTGAACTTAACCAAAAAACTCATGCGAATGTGCTTCCCACGTCAGACATCTGAAGGGGCCCTGGCCCGCCCGCCGAAGCAGGGCCTCTCTCCAAGGCACACACGGAGCTAGGAAGTGACAAACACCTTGGCATTCAGTGCCTCTGCTGAACACCTCCACTCCTGCCTCTCAAGCTACCTGGGAGTTCCGCCTTCACAAGTTACACTCCTCCTTAGAACAGAGAAGATGGAGCTAGACGTCTGAGAGCATTTCACTTGGGAACAACGGCAAACGGCACTGGATCCAGTATGGTTAGGACTCTGCTGCAGGTTTACTACAGCTTTTCATTCCTAAATTGGCTCTCGGGGACCAGCCTGCAAACCCAGCCTGCTGCTGCACGCATCTGTATTTGAATGTGCACGGACCCACACATATCCGAGGCGTCATCAGGATCTGTCTGTAAATCTACCACAGGTCTGATCCTAACAGTATTAGTACTAATAAGCAGGAAGATCAAAGATACCTTTTTATATAAAAGTATCAAATAGTAACAACAACAATACTAACATTTAGAGAGGGCTAAGTGTCAGGGGTCAGGCTAACAAACTCTAATTTGCTATGTTTTAATCCTCCTAACACATAAGGAGGTAAGTATTATTTTTGCCATTTTACAGAGAAAGAAACTGCGGCCTCCTGAGATTTAGTCTGATTCAAGGCTACTCAGCCAATAAAATGCTGAGACAGGATTCAAACCAAGCTAGAGCTACTGAGGAGGTGAAATAATGGGGGCTAAAGGGACAAAAATTTACCACACATGGATGAACACCAGGGAAGAAAACAATACTGCCCCAAACAGCACTTACTATAATAATAATGAGCGCTACAGGAATATGGGGCATTCTGCATTCATGTATTTTTAAAATCAATAAATTTTTGCAACATTTCTCTGAGAGTCTGTGACACTCCTCCCTGTAGCACCAACCTCTCCCCTTTATTAGAACTCTGATATTTAAAGCATTTTAGGGAGAAAGTTAGATATAGGAAAGGAAGTGCGTTTTCTAGACAAGCTGTATTACAAACAAGGTAGGTGATTCTTGAAATAACCATACTATCACCACAGAGCCATCCTGAGGGTTGAAGATGATGTAAATAAAGCCCAAAGCACGGATCAGACTGTCTGCCATCATAGCTGTTACTCCATCATCATAAAATGAGTTGATGTGTTAACAACAGCTTCACTGAGATGTAACTTACCATAAAGCCTGCCCATTTTAAGCATACAAGTGAACAAATCTGGGTGTTTGTAGAGTTGTACAACCCTTGCCGTGACCGAAGTGGATCAGATCTTTAAGTTTCTATGATTTACCTTTATTAACTTTACTTGTTATTTAAAAGTAGGTAGGCAAAAACTGCCAAGGACTCCAAGTTTAAAGAGTAACAAAGAGGCTTATTTAGTTTGGTTTCCCACCTTCTGAGGACAACAGGCTAACTTTAGCAAGACAAGCTTCACTTTCAACAAAATGGATTGTGTTGCTCACATCCTCAGGCCCTTTCACAGCTTGGCAATCTGACCAAGCCACAGAGCGACACTCAATTTCTCACTTCAACTCAGCATCACCCGGGCGTCGGGGGAGGGGTGTCACTGCAGCAGCAGGATGGATGGGCCTTTTCAGAAGTTCTGAATCAGACTACCAACACGCTGAGCAACACGACTGACTGAGCCTGCAGCCTTGTGCTGGGGCTTTACTCCCTCAGTGCTGACACTGCTCCAGTGTCACAGGTGTGGGGGACAAACGCTGAGCCTCCACAGAAGGCCCGCCCGAGCCCTGGTATCCATCCCACAGCCCATTTGTGCCGGAGCAGGAACAAACCACTTTGCGAGGAAAACGAAAAATGAAACTCTCACAATTAAAATCACTAGCCCAGGGTCAGATGCTAGTAAGTGGCAGAAGCGGGGCGGAACCACTGACTCCCAGAGCCCACAGCCCTTTCCGCTCAGCGGGGCGCACGGGGCAGACAGGGGCTTCTGGGATGGGCCCAGCGGCCCTCCAGCACTCACAGCACTCCTGCGCGGCCCTGATGCACAGCTCCTCAGCCGTGTACTCCCCGCGGCCCAGCCGGAGGGGCTCCCTATCTGACAGATAGAAGAGCACCTCCAGCCCTGGTTCCGGGGCCTCCTGGTTCACCTCCGTCTTCTTGGAGCTTCTCATTTTAGCACAGAAAGCCATGGCATTGCAGTCCTCTTTTATATTTAGATACTGTAACGGAAAGAAAACAAGACCATGTGGTCACTCCTGCTAAAACTTTCAGTGGTCAGAAAGAGTGTTAGGAAGGGGAGCAGGCAAAAACACGTGGTATTTGATAAGCACCTCTCCCTGCCCGTTCCCTCCTTGAAAATCAAATCATCAGAGCTTACGAGAGGAGAAACTATGGAAAATAATCAATTATGCAATTAATTGCATAATTAATCAATTATGGTCAGACCCTATTCTCAAAAATCAGAATCATTTTAGACACGGCTTAAATTTATTTTCTCTATTTGCACACAAGTTGTAGTTGAAAACTGTGGCTCATTCTGGAACCACTGATGTTACTGTTACTAACACTGCTGCTACCTCTACTGGAATCATTTAACTTCTGAACAGACCATGGCACGGATCACAGTGTCTTTTAATTTTGTGTCTCTCTGCCACTAAACTGCGAACTCCATGAGCGGTCAACCATGTCTTACCTATCTTCCTGCTCCAGAGCCTGGCCTGTGGCTGGCTCTGAGAAAGTGCACACAAAGGACGACCATTCATGTTCCTGAGCCACATGGAAGGGTCTGAAAATTAATGGATGGAGGGTCCCTCACCCCACAGGCAGCCAGGAGGATGGGCAGCACCCTGCGGCAGCAGAATGAGGGCAGGAAGCTTTGCTTTGAAAAGGTCAGAAGCCACTGGTTAGAAGCTTGCAAGTCAGCCACTCCTGTGAGCCCCCTCCAAAGGGAAGGCAGTTAGGATCAAGGACCCCAGCTCAGCAGCTCTGCCTCAGGCAAGGCCAGAAAGGAGGGGGACAAGGGAAAGCACTACACACTCTTTCTTCCCCTCACCCACCCAAGGGCCTACAAACCCATTTCCCTGACGCCAGGTCCCTACTTTCCTCTTGCCCGCCAAGCCAACCTTCACTTACCCCCAAAGCCGAGTCTCCATAACCAGACCAGATCCTCCAAAGGCTCCTCATTAACGCACAGACCAATCTCAAACTCCTAACAGAGGCCCTCCGCCACCTGGCCAGCTAGCCACGAGCCTCCCCTTCTATCACTGCCAGCCTCTTACTGCATGCTTCATGCTTGCAATGTGGCCATCTGCTTGTTTACCAGGAATGCCTTTCCACTCCACCCCCTTCATGGCACACTTCAACTTTCCTTAGAACTCAGCTCAGACATTACCTCCTCCAGGAAGCCCCCTCTGAAGCTCCACCCCATCCCCTAAGTTAGATGCCCCCTCCCAAACTCCCCACACTGCCTTAATGCCACTGACCTGTGATGATCTTATCCACGTGTGTGTGTCTCTCTCTCACTCACAAGTGGTGGGAGCTCCCTCAGGACAAGGACTGCATCGCTGATCTCAGTATCCCCAGGATACAGCACAGAGCCTTATGTACAACAGGTGCTTGCAGAATGACCCAAGGGAGCGCCTCAAAACAAGGCAAGTCAGAGAGGTGGACAGCAGTCACAGTTCTCGTCACCAAATTCACGTGCTCGGTCTATCAGCTGCCTGGTGAGGTGACATGCTTACAGGGGAGACATGAACTAGACACCCTAAATGCTACAAACTGAGAGGCCTTCCATTCTATCCTTAAATCTCCAAAATAAATCTGAAAACCAGACTCTTCCAGAAACCAGGCTGAAAGACTAAACTCATCACTTCCTGGGGTTCAGATCAACTGTCAGGTAAGGTGGTTTAAAACCCAGCACTGGGCCCCAACTCCACCACAAAAGGAAAAACAGAGACAGAGAGCAGAGAAGCCAAAGTCTGCTTCACAGTGTAAGACACGCCTCTGTCCTCGAGACTTTATGCAGACCCAGCAGGGGAAGAATTCAAAGACGGTGTTACACCCTTTCACCCTAAGGAAACCATGAGGCGAGTATACGTAATCATAGACGTCCAAGACATGGCACCATTTACAACAGAGGAAACGAAAAAGTGCAACAGCAGAGGACTCCCTAAACAGAATAAGGCATAGCAACACAGACAATAATACGCAGCTATGACAAAGGATAACCCAAAGCTATGTGAACCAACACTGAAAGATGCACATGATATATTATGACCCTTTTGGTTATGTATATGTATAACCTGGGAAATATACCATAAATTGTTAACGGGGGTGAATATCTAGGAGGGATTACGAGGAAGATTTAACTTTTACTTTGTACTTCCCATAATTTTGTACTTTGGGGATTTTTTTAAACCAGTACATTCAACATTTGGAATGAACAACAATTAAAATATCAATTTTTTAAAATTAGAGTACAGACAGCCCTACAGGTTTAAGATGCTTTATTATTCTTTTTAAAAGCAATTTTCCTTTTTGTCTTTTTAAAAAAATATGCAGATGTACTTACCTGCATTTATTCGGCTGTCCAATGTCCCCCAAAAAGCAGACTGGATTTTCTTCTCTACTTTCCAAAGCCTCTTCAGAGCTGAGCTAAAGACAAAGATAAATAAATCAATCGGCTGCAGAGGCAATTGCATCAGAAAATAAGTGGACACTTTCATTAAGGAAGCAGTCCAAACCATAAACAGGCAGGAAAAAGCATTTGGGAGGAAGAAGGAAGAAAACCAAAACACTGATGAGGACAGTGAGAGGACAGAGAGGCAGGTCAGCGTGTCAACATCAAAGGAGATACTATTTTCATTGCTCTGGGAAAGGAAGGCAGGACTTGTGCTCCCCGGCGGAGAGAGTCCTGTGCAGCGTAAGTGAGGACCATGCGCCTCTCCCGTCAACAGCCTCTCTCCCGAGGCTGTGAACAGCGGTTCAGGATGCCCGAGGACGTGTGCTTTTATTTCCCGTTTCCCTTTCCTCTAGAATTACCCTCCGCCCCACCCGGTCTGCCCCGCCCTCATTTTAATGGTGGAACAACATAAGGTCCAGCGACAGGGGGAGGGCCTGGGGATAAATCTGACAAGCAATGCTTTCAGCTCACCCAACATTTTCTGAGCCATTCTTATTTGGAAACTTCAGCAGCAAGCAAAGCTCCTGCGCATCTCCCCAGCCTCACCTCAAAGCCGAACTCACGCTACACAAGAATAGCAACCGCGTTCCGCAGACTTCAGTCCCTGGTCCCATCCTCACCACCACCCACACTCACACCCACAGCTCTGTATTGTTTTCACAACTCTCCTTCTTGCTTTTCACAAATTCTCTTTTCTAACAGTAGAATCAAATTATTTTTGTAAATAAGGAGCAACCACCCTTGGTGATTTGAAAGTGGTTTCCAAGTTAATACAGATAACTGTGTCAGTTTTCTGCCAGTCATTCAACACATTGTATCAGACTCCAGCTTTAGGAGGAGCACAGGCCCAGGCGCTCCATGGCAGCCTAACTGCGAGGGGACTGGGCAGGGGTGACGGGCAGGACGGGTCACCTCTGGGCTGCAAGGCCAGCATTCTCACAGGACCTTGCAATCAAAGCGGGAGACAGCGCAAATGAAAACACAAAAGCAGCGTGAACTCAGCAAAGTGAGTGGGTCACGATGTCATCTTCTGTACCCGCTGCTAACTCTGCTGCTAACATTGCTGAGTGCTCATGTGCTGTGACAGGAGGCCAGGCAGGGGACACAAGGATGAATTTTGATGTGACAACTGTAACTTCGCTATTTTGACACAGACTCTTTCTTGTTTTTTCTCCCCAAATCCCCCCAGTACATAGTTGTATATTTCTTTAGCTGTGGGTCCTTCTAGTTGTGGCATGTGGGAGGCCGCCTCAGCGTGGCCTGATGAGTGGTGCCATGTCCTCACCCAGGATCCGAACAGGTGAAACCCTGGGCCGCTGAAGCAGAATGCGCGAACCTAAACACTCGGCCATGGGGCCGGCCCCGACACAGACAATTTTAACAAGATTAAAAGAACAAATCACTATGCTTTGGGCTTTTAAAAATTTAACATAATTTAGCGGCTACCAGGGGAAAGGTGGGGTGGGGGGTGGGCACAAAGGGTGAAGGGGGTACACTTACAACATGACTGACAATAATGTACAACTGAAATTTCACAAGATTGTAACCTATCATTAACCCAATAAAAATTAAATTTAAAAAAATTTAACATAATCATTTTAATTATGTGAATAAATATCCTGACCTGCGTCAAAGCAGCAGTCTGAAATTAGCTGCATGCTAATGCCTTGCTTTAGCTTAGAAGCAGGGTTTCAAATGTCGTATTTAGGAGATTTATTCAACGAGTATTTCTGAGCAGTTCTTCATGCCAGAAACTGAGCTGTACCAGAAGGCCACAATGAAGAAACAGAGCAATATGGCCCCTGCCTACATCTCTGGGACCAATGGAATGAAACAAAGATGCACAGAAAAAGATTACTATAAAGATCTTAAAATGCCATGAAGGAAAAACACAGAGCATATAAAAAAAGGAAAGCAATCTAGCCTGGGGCTCAAGAGGGAAGTAATATGCAGCTGAGATGTAAGGATGTCTGGGGAGGTGGGGAGAAAGCAGCCTGGGTGAAGGATGAGCATATGCAAAGGCCCTGGAGAGGAGAGGAGCACTCCAATCCACTGGCAGCACTTGCCCACAGCAGGCTTGGGGCCCTTCTAGCCCAGGTTTCCTGCAGCACACCATTACATGCTGCTGCTAAAAAGGAATCAAAACTGACTCCATGCTTTGGAGCATCAGGAAGCCTGCCCCAAACCAGCAAAGGGCCACAGACTCAGAGCCTTTCAGAGCAGGAAGAGCCCTGTGAGCCCCCTCAGGCCCAGGCTCGCTCAGAAGCGTCACGACACCAATCTTTTCAGACTCACAGAGGATTTTAAGATGTGCCATCAGATCACCCATTACTGAACTCAGGAGTCAGGGGTTGCTCTGAGCCTCACACAAGATTTGAGAGTCAGACTAAAATCACTAGGACTCTTTTAGAACTAGGATTCTATGAAAACCTGTAATCAAAGAGAGTTTGGTTTTTCCATTATTCTTTCTCTACTGCAAACAACATTACACTGAAATCACATTGTATCTAATTTTCACTCTGACCTCCATTATTTCTGGACAGGACAATAACATGGTATCAATGTGTGATGCTTAGCCTAGAGAGTAAACTCTGAAAAAACAAGATCAGCTACAGAATTTTAGACAATATGCATTTACTATGATGTTTCTGTATACTGGTTCAATAACAACAAAATCCTGTTCTCAGAAAACCAACATTCTAACGATAAAAATTTTCAAACACCCACACAGCACTCAAAAGATACACTAGGCACCATTCTAACACATGCAGGACTGCTGATCCACTTTACGTAAAATTACAGCTGTCCTCAGGCAGGATCACGAGCGCTTTTTGGTGCTACAGCATTTATGGAATGGCTTCATTCAAATAGCATTTCTTTCCAAATAAACCAAACAATATGTTCTACCTACGTGTTTTTAGAAGGTAGTAAAAGAACAAGACCAGTTTATACATACTTTGGATAATTCCAAGAAACCAGTTTAAGTCTCCTGCTACAAGATACAAAAAGGAAATCTTGAATGCTAAAAAAACCGACCAGTAGGACTCACGCAATACCCTTTAAAAACAACATGATTCCCTAAGGTTCTATTCCCAACTCAAATGAATACAAAGCAGCTCAGAATATGGGAAGGAGAAAAGTGAGCAATCAAAAACCTTCTGATGAAGCAGTGAATTCTTCCCCCCCTACTTTACTTATAAATTTTCAAGGATTTGAAAGAAAATGCCTTTCTTTCCAAGACAGAGGATTACTTTTGTTGCTCAATCTTGCAGATGCTACTTTACGTGGGGGAAAAAAGAAAATCAGGGACATTTTATAGATTCACAAATTTTTTTAGTTTACAAAAGTTTTACACTAGAGACAAGTATATCTGATACTTTCTGATTGAGAGAAAAAGTAACAGAAATAAAACACAATTCTGTGAGTCTGAAGAAGGACTAACTGTAATAAATGGGATATCACAACGATTTTCCAAGACGCAAAATTTCAGAAATCGATGTCTGAAGATACTGAAACCCCCTTAAATTTTCAAGGACATCTTTTGAAATACAGGGACAAGGGAAGAACACACAATTAAATTTTGAATAGCGGGGAAGAGGGAGATAAGAATAGAGCAGGTTAATGTCCACAAACATGATCATCAGAAGGCGGCTGCTCTGAGCCAAAGGCCACTGCCAGATTTCTACAGTAAAAATAGACTGGATGAGGGTTAAAATCAATGAGAGATCAAAATAAAATACTTCGGGTATCTGTTTTTACTACAGAAATCATCACCCCTACAGTGAGTTACTTTATGTATGCCTTAAAACAATGAAAGCTTTTAACTTCTGAAGTAGAAATACAAACAAAATGTTCATAAATTAAGGGATGAACCAAGAAAATTGAAAAGAAAAATATGTAATTTAGAAAATGCCCTGAAATCAGCTGCTTAATACCTTAAGAAATTTTCAGACTAAAGATCTTAACCCTTAAGAAGCGATTTCAGCCTCGTCTTCAGGGTGGCGAGGAAACTAACGCAGCTCCAGGAGGCAAGGATTCTGTCTCGTTCTGTAGGGTTTCATCACCAGCACACAGTAGGTGATCAACACAGAGCTAGAGTCTTCAAACGAAAGATGAAGGTAACAGCAAAGTAAGCAACATCATGCAATGGAAAAATCCATAATCCAGGGTGTGTGGGTTCCTACTGACAACTAGCAAGTGTGACCTGGAACAAGTCACTTTAATCTTTGAGCCTCCGTTTCCCCATCCATTAACTTGAGAGGAAAATCCTGCCTAAGAGGCTGATGTAAGGAACAAAAAGGTCTTTCAAAAAGTCTTCATCAAGTTCCTACCAAGCCTTTTTCAAATGAGGCTGCAGACGCCCAAGTGCTGAGGCACTGCAACGTGGGCCTCAGGGCAGGGGGCTGAGGGGGCTGCGAGCTTGCTTACAGAACAAAAACACAGACAGGGATTGCGAGTGAAAGCCTGCTCATAAGTCCAAGTTCCACGTCCTGTGTCTCCAATGACACGGCGAGCAGCTGGCAGAGAGAGCTGGAGTCGTGCTGACCTGGGCTGAATCCTGCCTCCCCACCTCCAAGGCACCGGAATGCCGGGCAAGTTACTCACCACCCCTAAACCTCAGGGCTCTCAGCTGGAGGTGGGGGGTAAAAACAGCATCTGTTTCAGGCAGCTGCTAAGAGTTAAACGGGTTCATGCATATCAAGTGCCTAACACAGAGCTCAGCAGGCATAAGCCTTCATATGTTGGCCATAAATTCTGTTAAACCGATTACAGATGATCGAACAGTCCAGCTAAGAGAGGGAACTCCAGGACACACAGACACCTGCAACATCTCATGCACGGGCAGTGGGGCCCTGCGCCCGGTGCTCTCGAAAAGCAGGGGAGGTTGCAGGCCGACCCGCCGGAGTGCCAGAGGTCAAACACGCGACTCCTGATTCCAAGGGCCCTGCTCTCTCCACAAGGAGAAACTGCT